CCCGCGTTGGGCTCTGTGCTGACTGTCAGCTCAGAGCCTGGAGCCTATTTCGGAGTCTGTGTCTCCCTCTCTCTCTGACCCTCCCCTGCTCACGCTGTCTCTCTCTCCTAGAAATAAATAAAAATATTTAAAAAAATTAGTAACTTTATAAATACAGCAACAGTGTGTATAAATTGAATTTAAAGGCTTAAAAAAACCTAAGTTTTTAAATGTTTATAAATTTAATAAATTCAACATTAATCCAGAGCCCCGAGAACTATAAAAAATCCTATTCATGCATAAAATAAAAAGATTAAAAAACTCAATGTGATGTTACTGAGTGCCTTACTCTGCTAGGTCCAGATAACCCACAGCATCCGCCCTGGAGGAGGTGAGTCTAATAAAATACCAGAGATTATAGCACAGAGAAGGGGTCTAACCCAACTTAGGGGACACAGAAAAGTTTCCTGCAGGCTTCCTAAATTAGTACAGACTTAAACCCAAGGCAATCATGGTTTCTACTTTTATTTTTATTTTAAAATGCATACCCCAGGGTTCCAATCATGCAATGTTTTCTCCATCCCACATTTTAGTGAAACCAGCTCCACCTACATTCAGAATTGGAGAATACCTTGGATATAAGATCCCAGTATCCATCTACCATGAATGTGGGTAACTAGGACACAAACTCATCAGCTGGGCTGAGCACAGGAAGAGCAACACCCCCCCCCTCCCCCCAAGGCCTGGGGAGTCTGAATTAGCCACGGTCTTAAATAAAAGATGGCCTCTAGATGAAAAGGCTGCATTTCTTAGTGTCACCACTAGGTGTCCCCAGAGAGGAGAGATAGATAGATAGATAGATAGATAGATAGATAGATAGATAGATAGATATACATATATACACAGATATAGATATATATCCACAAGGATCAAAGTAGTGTATTACAGTTTTCTTTATAAGAAACAATCTATTGTGCTCGCTTCGGCAGCACATATACTATAAGAAACAATCTATTTCTATATTCAAATATGCACCTATATAATCCTTTAGCTAAGAAGACCAAGGTTCTAGACTAAAAGAACCTCTGTTAACTCAGTACAAAGGAAACCATATCACTTTTAACACTAAAAATGTCAACCTCCACGTGACAGTACTTTTGCTTTTAGCATCCGTGGATTAATAAAATACAAAGATATTTAAAAGCACAGCTGAATTATCAGCAGCTTCTTGACATTCTGTATTTTTTAGATCAGATACCTATGTAAATTTGAAAAATAATAGTACATATATGTGATACACGTTCAGACAACAGATGCCAGCAGTGTGTTTCAGCTTATAGGTCCCAAGACATGGAGGTTCTCACATGGAAACCCCTGGAGTAGAACTCCTGCTCTGAGGTTCTTACTGTTTCTGAAAATGACACCAAAAAAATAAATGATTTCCCAATGTTGTATGGCACACTGGTGCAAGTCACAAACAGAACTCAAACGACCTCGTTTACAACATGTGCTGGTTATCATTCTGTTAATGAGCATATATATAAATTCAACACAAATGTTCAAATAATAATGGGCCACTTTTACATTCCTTCCACAAACCACAGTGGTACCCTAGCACATTAGTCTAATTCCAGATTTCAAGGAATTTCAAGTAATCTCATCTCACCCGTCTCTAGTAAGAAGACACTCCTACCCAAGCCCTCAGTGGTGTGCCAGGGATGCCAAAATTGTGGCATAACTGTGGTCCATCCTCCCAAAGCACCAATTTTACACTAAGATTTGTTGAGAATGTGGGAATAACTGCACTCTTTAAAGGGCCTTTGCTCCTGTGTCCCTGCTATCCGCAGGGTCCTGTTTTCTCTTGTCTGCTACATCTTGGCTGGAATAGTGAAGGTTCAATGAACAGAACATTTTTTTATCCTGTGATTAGAAAATATATGATACTTCTATGTTTTTATTAAGGAATATATTACTCCTTCAGTTGGACCAAAAGGTCTGCTACTGGGGCAGAAAGAGACTAGAATAATCACCTCCAAGGCCCAAGGGCTGGTGCCAGCCACTGGTATGAACAAACTGAAGCCTGGAATTTTTCGGCAAGATTAAAAAGACCTGCAGAGCGACCTTTTGAAAATCTAGTTTGTCCACTTAAATTTCAGCCTATGTTTTACTTTTGCCTGCATTAAATGATCTAAGCTCCTACAATCCAGTTTACCTTCCTGACATAATTAAACTCAATCATATGTTTTATTTACAAACTCCTGATTACAGACAGCATTTCTGAGAGCTGAATCTTTCTACCATAATTCAACAGAAAATTAAAAGTCTGCCCTTTTCACCATTCCATTCACTTAACATACATTTTTTAACTGTTAAAATTCTGTAATAATATTTTCAACATAGGACAAAGGTTTGGTGGTTAGAAAAAGCAAGTTTGAAATGCAAACTTGAAAGAGTGAAAATAAGTAAGAAGCTGAGCATCACAGTCCTCTGGAATAAGGGTTGGGATGCATATGTATGAGCCCTAAGTCGTTCCTTGAGCAGGGGCTAAAGAAAAGGGACAGATGAGCCCGTACCAGTTGTTCTGAAGACCAAGAATGTGCTCAGAAGCTTACAATGGCTTCTCTTACTATGAAAAAATAAATAATCCAATGCTTTGAGTGAGAAACTTCAAGAAAGGTTTCTGAAAAATCCACTATGCCAAAATTGGAGTTTCCTTCAAGAGCAGTTTCAGAATTAAAATTTAACCACTGAAGGTAAAGTACAGCTGATCCTTGAACAACATAGGAGCTAGGGGTGCCAACCCCACCAACTCTCCAGTCAAAAATTTAGGTATAACTTTTGACTTCCCAAAACCTTAACTGCTAATAGCCTACTGTAGAGCAGCAGCCTAACTGATAACATAGTCAATTAACACATACTTTGTGTTTTATATGCATTACATACTGTATTCTTACAATAAAGCAAGTTAGAGAAAAGGAAATGTTATTAAGAAAATTCATAAGGAAATGAATTATTGGGACCTCATCAAGATAAAAAGCTTCTGCAAAGCAAAGGAAACCATCAACAAAGCTAAAAGGCAACTGATGAAATGGGAGAAGATATATGCAAATAACATTATCAAATAAAGGATTAGTATCCAAAATCTATAAAGAACTTATCAAACTCAACACCCAAAAACCAAATAATCCAGTAAAGAAATGGGCAGAAGATATGAATAGACACTTCTCCAAAGAAAATATCCAGATGGCTAACAGACACATGAAAAGATGCTCAACATTACTCATCATCAGGGAAATACAACTCAAAACCAAAATGAGATACCACCTCACACCTGTCAGATGGCTAAAATTAACAACTCAGGAAACAACACATGCTGGTGAGGATGTAGAGAAAGGGGAACCCTCTTGCACTATTGGAGGGAATGCAAACAGGTGTAGCCACTCTGGAAATTGTATGGAGGGGCCTCAAAAAATTAAAAATAGAACTACCCTATAACCTAGGAATTGCACTACTAGGTATTTATCCAAAGGATACAGAAATGCTGATTTGAAGGGGCACATGCACCCCAATGTTTATAGCAGCATTATCAACAATAGCTAAATATAGAAAGAGCCAAATGGCCATCAACTGATGACTACATAAAGAAGATGTTGTATGTATATATACAATGGAATATTACTCGGTGGTCAAAAACAATGAAATCTTGCCATTTGCAACAACATGGATGGAGCTAGAATGTATTATGCTAAGCGAAATAAGTCAGTCAGAGAGAGACAAACATCATATGATTTCACTCATATGTGGAATTTAATTAACAAAATAGATGAACACAGGGGAAGGGAAGGAAAAATAAGAAAAAACAGAAAGGGAAGCAAAGCATAAGAGACTCTTAAACACAGTGAAAAAGTTGAGGCTTGCTAGAGAGGAGGTTGGTGTCAGGACAGGCTAGATGGGTGATGGGCATTAAGGAGAGCATTTGTTTGATAAACACTGGGTGTTATATGGAAGTGATGAACTGCTGGTTTCTACTCCTGAAACTAATACTACATTGTATGTTAACTAACTTGAATTTAAATAAATTATGTACTCTTAAAAAAAAGAAAGAAAAGAAAAATCCTAAGGAAAGTAACAAAAACGAGTCCCATGCTGTAATAAGATACTTAAGTATATAAAGCTAATAAAGAATTAGTATCTATAATAAAAAATCATAAGGAAGAGAAAATGCACTTACAGTACTATATGTATTTATCAAAAAAAAAAAAAAAATCACACATAAATGGACCGACATGGTTCAAACGTGTTGTTCAAGGGTCAACTGTATATGTAACAGAAGAAAAACTGTTTAAGACCATGCACTATAGGTAGAACCAGTTCTGTCTGGGGTGAAAAGAGGTCAGCTTAAAAACAGGCTGACCTCAAGAAATAGAAATATTATCAATAACAACAACACTAAACATTACTGAGCATTTTCCGTGTGTCCAGCACTGTTCTAAGTGCTCGTCTCTATTATCTCATTCAACCCACATAACCCCATCCTATGAATCTGATACTTTATTTCATTGTCGCCATTTTAAAGATAAGGAAATTGAGGCTCAGACTTGTTAAATAACTTGTCCAAGGATCCAGAGCTAATAAGTGGCAAGGCCATGATTCAAACCCAGGCCATCTGATTCCAGAGTTCAGACATTTAGCTGTTGGAAGAGTGCCATGATTTTAGTGTCCTCAAAAGACCTGCTTAAAAAACAGACCTACCTAGTTTTCATCCTTAAAGTTGGGAGAAACCTGAAATCTTGATGATTTCATCATTTACTGATTTATTTATAATTAATATGCCTGTAGGGCATTTTCATTTGTAAAGTGACTACTAATGATAAAAACTTTTATCAAGAGCATTTGTTTTCTAAGAAACACATTATTAAATGGGAAAAAAATGCATGGAGTTATACACAGAGAGGACCAAGCCTATGACAGACAAGCCCAGAGAGTGGCAGATCACATCCAGGCCCCACCTACCACGTCATTCACTGAGGACAGGTGACACTGGAGGTTCTACTTCTTGAATTCCTTCTAGGAATGATTAAGTGGTATAATGCAAGTAATAAAAAGAGAGAGAAAAATTAAAAAAACAAAATAGAAACAGAATGTCATCAAGTTTATAGTGAAATGAGAAAAAACTTTGAAATTTGGCTTTGTTGTTCATATGTGAATCTAGGATTAGCCAGGGAAAGGTACTAATCTGAGTTTGTATGTTATGGATTGAATTTTTTTTAATCAGAGAGAAAAGAAAAGATAGTTTGACAAAGGATGACTCACAGCATGGCTTAGATTCTGTTTTCAAAGTTTAATGTGAGACAACAACTGGTAAAACTATAAGTATTTCACTTAACTTATGCTTCTGACAATGGCTGCCTAAGTGCCCGAAGGGACCCTCCCATTGCAGAGCAACCTATGCCTGTAAAGGACACACTACTTGAGAGATATTGGTCTTGAAAGAGGCACAAGAGGTCACTCAAACCCTCCTCTTTTAAAAAAGGAGGAACTGGACACAGACTGGTAAGGTATTAGGGCCAGGCAGGAGTCAGAGCAGAACACAGCTGAAACAGAATAGGGGAGCAGAGACCTTGGCAGAACAGCACTGTCCGGAAACTGAGCTTTGAGCCAGACTCCAATTTGGGAGGGACACTTTAGCTCACTGAGCCTAGACCTTCAGAAATGCATATGGCGGTCCAGGTCAGGGGCAATACTTGGCTGACAGCAGGAACAGAAACAATCTGTCCCCACAGGAAGGTTTCTCAAATTTGCCTTTTGTTATGGGCAATCAGCCCATAACACTGATTAAGCAGTGTGCTCATAACCACAGGTCACCAACTACACACAGTTTGACAGTCACAAACTACATACACATTTATAGTCTCAAAAACTGCAGATACTGGGATCATTAGATGCAGAATACAGAACAGCTATGTGTATAACATTTGAAGAAATGAAAGTTACGACAGTCACAAAGATCACCAAGGAGAGAATGTTAGGAATGAATAATAAGTTTGGGGGGGGGGGGAACCTGTGAAACTTTCACAAATAAAAAATTGTTAAAATCAAAAAGTCCATCAACAGGCTCAACATTAAATCAGAGACAGCTAAAAAGAGAATTAGTGAAATGGAGGCTATACATAAATGTTTTCATCGTGTGTGACTATATCACTGCAATTAAAATCAAGTTTGATCAGAGACTGTGAGCTGTTCTTAGCTAATTTAAACATAATGAAAACTGTGCTATTGGTGGTAAAAAAAAAAAAAATAAGGGGGAAATTCACAGGAAAAGTCTTTTGATAAGTAATTCCCTGACACAGTCATTCAAAGCACCTTTCAGGATAGGCTAAAAGACAGGTGTTCGTATATGGAGGGAGCCCCACCCAGGAAGAATACTCCAAAGACTTCAAACAGCAGTCACCTCTGCAGAGGAAAACTGCAGGGATGGAGGGCAGGGGAAAAGGGATGGTAGCTTTTGTTCCCTGTGAATGCTGTTGTAGCTCTTGGATTATTTACTAGTTGCATGTGTTACCCCATTCATGAAAGAGAATTTTCAAGTGTCTGGAAGATAAAAGACACAGGCTGCATGGCTTCTCAACAGGACAACAGACGTGAAGAAAATTTTAAGAACAAAAGCCTAAAATTGTTGGACAAGACAATGGCCTGGACATTGCTCCTCAGAAATTTCCCTGAATATGGCAGGTACAGCACTAGAGCAAGTGGTGGTCATTTCCACATATTTATGTGAGGTGGAAGCTCTTGAAAAACTGGGGACAATGTAGCAAAGACAACAAACAGCACTGAATGTGATACACTAGCTGACCTCATGCAGACTAACTTTCAGAAATCAATAAGCAACACCATATTTTGGAGACAGTGACATCGTTAGCACGACTTTAAAAAAAACAGCAGTGTTTCATGCTTGCTCCTCGTCGTTCCAGCTGTGTTCCCAGGGATCCTGGCTCTCACTCCACTCCTCTGCTGCATGGGTGCTTTCCAGAGAAAGCTGGAGAAGCACAAAGGGATTTTGACAGAGCAGACAGAATGTATATTTTGATTTGACTTGTCAAGAGATATCATAGACCAAATTTCTACTTATATATGGTTTCTTACCCCAAAAAACAGGAAAGAAGAAACTGTACAATAAATAGAACATTCTTCCATTCACTGAATTCAGTAGCCTATTGTGAAAAAGAAAGAAAACTAATGGTTAGACTCATAATTCAGTTTAAATCTATGGGTTTATCAAATTGTTTGTTTTAGTGCAGAAACCACTTTCCCAAACAGAAAATACAACTTAAAAAATCCTAGTCAATACCAGTTGTGGGATGTTGGGCATATCACTTTAACTCCCTAAATCTCAGATTCCTTTTACAAAACAGGGATTTAAAAAAAAAAAAAAAAAAAAAAAAAAGAACTTCCTCAAAAAGTCCACATGAGGATTTAATGAAACTATTTAGAACCTGGCAGGAGGCAAGCATACAATACAGCTGTTGTTGCTGTGACTATCACTGACTCATTATTAATCTGTAGTCACAAAATCAGGGTTGGGTTTACTTTTAATAAATAATCTTAGAAGAGGAGTGCCCAGGGGGCTCAGTCGGTTGAGTGTCCAATTTCAGCTCAGGTCACGATCTCACCAGTTTGTGAGTTTGAGCCCCACATCAGGCTAACACAGTTAGCCAGAGCACGCTTTGGATCCTCTGTTCCCCTCTCTCTGTCCCTCCCTCACTCATGCTCTCTCTCTCTCTCAAAAATAAACATTAAAAGGGGCGCCTGGGTGGCTTAGTCGGTTAAGCGTCCGACTTTCGCTTAGGTCATGATCTCGCGGTTCGTGGGTTCGAGCCCCGCGTCGGGCTCTGTGCTGACTGCCAGCTCAGAGCCTGGAGCCTATTTCAGTCTGTGACTCCCTCTCTCTCTGACCCTCCCCTGCTCACGCTGTCTCTCTCTCTCTCTCTCCTAGAAATAAATAAAACATTAAAAAAAAAAAATTTAAAAAATAAATAAATAAATAAATAAACATTAAAAAAATTAATAAATAAATAATCTTAGAAGAAAGTTTATTAGAAAATTAGTAATACTGCCAAGTTAAGAAAACTTTAAGTCCATGAAATATTTTCAAGAATTTACAAATGCTTAGTATTATGAACAAATAAACTAAATTGTTTGCTATTTACAAAGCAAGGAAGTAATCAGAGTGGTGGAGTTAAGACAGAAATTCGTGGAGGAGTTTCAACTCTCCAAGAACTTAGTTGAGAAAATGAAACTAACCCTCTTGAAATGGCAGGTAACAATAAAAAGGAGCGTTTTATGAATGACTTGTCCTTTGCCTACATCCAAAAATGATTTTAAGGTGACTCAAGATAATACATAAGCATGTGCTGAATAACATGGTTAAATATAAGCTCTATTCACTTTCTACTAGGCAAAACTTGATTAATCAAGTTTTAGTAACTTTATAGATTTAACTACTTAAATTCTTGTTGACTTTATAATTCAAAAAGTGTAAGCCAATTAGAATGGAATTCTCCCCCAATTAACGCAACCTTGCCACACTTGTTATTGTTTCATTAGTAAGACTTTGCCCACGCCTCTTATCAAAAAGATACATATTAAATGTTAATAATTGCTGAACCTGGTTGGTGGGTACATGGGGTCTGTTATACTATTTGTTCTCCTTCTGAATAGGTTTGAAAGTTTCCAGCATAAAATTATTCTTTTACTGCTCACTTGTGAAAGGAATATATGTAATAAATATAAAACTGTCTTACTGTCAGAGGGGCAGAAAACATTCAAGGCAGTCAAAGATCAAAATCAAACAACTATAGAAAACACTCTATATCGGGGCGCCTGGGTGGCTCAGTCAGTTAGGCATCCAACTTCGGCTCAGGTCATGAACTCACGGTTAGTGGGTTCGAGCCCCGCATTGGGCCCTGTGCTGACAGCTAGCTCGGAGCCTGGAGGCTGTTTCGGATTCTGTGTCTCCCTCTCTCTCTGACCGTCTCCTGTTCATGCTGTCTCTCTCTCTCTCTCTCAGAAATAATTTTTTAAATTCAAAAAAAAAAAAAAAGAAAACATTCTATATCTAAAGTTAAAATGAAACTGGGAATAAGAGAAAACCATATGCTCCAAGCTCCAAACCACAGGTAGAAAAACATTTATTTACTCAACAAGCTGGAAGTATTTCTGCAAACAGTAAATAAAAACTGTTCTGATACCATCTAAGCCACTGAGGGCTACACAGTCATCTTCATAAAAATATCTGGGGGCACCTGGGTGGCTCAGTCGGTTAAGCCTCCGTCTTTGGCTCAGGTCGTGATCTCACAGATCGTGGGTTCAAGCCCCGCGTCGGGCTCTCTGCTGGCAGCTAGCTCAGAGCCTGGAACCTATTTCAGATACTGTGTCTCCCTCTCTCTCTGACCCTCCCCTGTTCACGCTGTCTCTCTCTCTCTCAGAAATAATTAAAAATATTTTTTAAAAAAATATCTGGATCCTTTGCCAACCTATATTTTAATAGATTTAAGTTTTATTTTGTTCCTTTAATAATGATGAGGCTATGCTGGTGGCATTTTTAAAAATAATGTAAAAAATGATGTAGCATGACCTTCATTTTAAAACAGAAAATAATTAAAGGTGAAGAATGATAAAATGCTGCTTCCTTTACACTTGCTATTGCTCTAACAGTATGGTGAAGCATGAATCTTTTTTATTTTGCATTATGTGTTTTTTATCAGAAAAATAAATCCTATTATTTATCCCTATTCATCTACTGCTATATACCACATGTACTTTGAACCTCTTGCAGCAATTCAAATGACTAAAAAAAGGGCACCCAATCAGTATTGTCCAGGAGCTCAAATTGTTTACAAGAGGAGCTGGCATTGCTAACTTTGCCAATCAGAGATGGAGTCAAGGTGGTGTTACCAGGTTTATTGACTGTGTAAGTCCAAGGTCCCAGAGTGAGTGAACCCCCAGGCAGTGAGTCATACACATGAGTCTTAACCACAACCTCTGATCCTCTCTAGTCAACCAGGAAAAATGCTTCATCTAAGTACTTTTTCTATTAACAAGTTAATATTTTGCCCTGATTTATCAATCAACTTCTGGTATAATCAAACCAAACTTGGTACACAAAATGCAATTTTATAGACTAACACATCTAATTACATAAAGTTCTAGTCTTTATTGTATTTGTTTCACAATCTAAAATGGATTCACCCATGGTTAAAAGTAACCGAATGGAAGAAGCTTATAGTTCAATGGAACTCACAGCAGAAAAATCTTACTAGTGAAAAATCTCATCATTTTTTCCCACAGGGTTTTAAGAATCACTGATTACAGTGAGTGTCCCATATCTTTTGGATCTCCTATCATAAAATACTTTTAAATTAAAATAGAGTCAAAATTTAAACTTCATGACTTTGTCTTATCATTTTTGCAAGAGGCCCTTTTCACAGTTATAAACACATTGTAACTTTTTTCTAATTATAAGTTTCTTACAGATTTTAAAATAAATCTATATATTTAGCTCTGATCCATCTGGAATTTCCATCAATAGTAATCACAGCTGGGGCTCGAAGGTACCTACAGAAACTGTACATTAGAAGCCTGGTCAAACAAAAGAGACTAGACAGGGTACATATTGAGATAGTTCAGCACCAAAAGCCAGGATAGGAGCATAATATTCTCCTAGAACACCACTACTTAACAAGTTAAAGTATATGTCAGGCCTCTTGTACTTTCTAAGATGTAAGTGATAGGTTATGGTTTTTCATACATGAAGGAAAGAAACACTTTTCATGTATAATAAAGAAACTGAGATGACAGTGGAGAATGGGTTCCAGAGCCAGACTGCCTGGATCGATAACCTGCTGTCCCTGAAAGTTATTTAAATGCCGTGCTCTAGATTCCTTGTCTATAAGATGAATAGCAGTACCTTCTCCGCAGAAGGCTGCTGTGGAAAGCAGTGAAATCATTCATGTATAGTGCTTCGAACAAAGTCGGATAAAATAAGCCCTCGATCAATATTAGCTATTATTATTTTTATTATACCTGAGAAGATATAATAATTCTGCAGGGATAATCGTTACAAGGAAGTGAAACTTCTAAGAGCATATGTTACAAGTTTATAAAGCAATGGTTTGGATGCCTGAACATATATTCCTATCAAAGCAGTGCTATCAATTATTAACATGATACATCTAGTCAATTTAACTCATAAGGTACCTAAAATTCAGTTTCTGGTCACAGAGCATTCATAACATTGCTGCTAAGGTGTTCTGCTGTTCCCTCTTCTGGGTAGGAATTGTACAAATGAAAAACCATAGCTTTGAGAAAGAATACAAAGCCTTGACATCCACCCAGAAGCCCACAAGAGCCAGCAGCCTTCTCGAAGTATTCAACCCCCTGAAAGGCTACAGATGGGATCAACTCAAACTGCACCACAGAAACAAGCTGATTAGTAAACAAAAAAATAACAGTCATGCGGCAGGTGATGGGACTGCACAGGGCCTCTCTGAACACCCCTTCCCACCCTACCCCTGTCGGTCCAGCAACAAAAGGGTTAATGCCCGGGGGTTGGTTCCATGGGTGGAGGCCAGTCTGGACCATAATTTTGCCTAGCGAATTTTCTCACATGAACTTAAACATCTCCCTTAAGATACAGGCAAAATTCGGGGCACCTGGGTGGCTCAGTCGGCTGAGCGTCCAACTTCAGCTCAGGTTATGATCTCACAGTTTGTGAGCTCGAGCCCATGTCAGGCTCTGTGCTAACAGCTCACAGCTTGGAGCCTGCTTCTGATTCTGTATCTCCCTCTCTCTGCTCCTCCTCAGCTCATCCTCTGTCTCTCTCTCTCAAAAATAAACATCAAACAATTAAAAAAAAAAGATAACAAACAAAATTCTTAGAAGAGGTGTGGTTGGCAACCTTCTGAAAAAGTGGAGTCTGGCAGGGGCTGGCACACTTCAAGGTGGCCACTGTGGATGCTACAAGGTGAATATCTCCCTGAATGACTGGTCTTCACTCCCTCCAGCTGGGCCCCCTGTTACTACTAATCTACCATTTTATTTGTCTCTCATGTGTGTGCAGGGCAATACCAAAAGAACAACACATTCTCAAAATTCAAATGTATGTCCTGGAATATTTAAAGACAAAATGCCATGATATCTGAAGTTTGCTTTAAGATAGTCCAGAGCGGGGAGAAATGAAAGCAGATGGGGACAGATGAAATAAGAACAGCAAAAGGCCGAAAAGTACTGACCCTGGGCAGTGGGTACAGGAGAGTTCTTTAAATTATTCCGCTTGCATATGTTTCAAAATGTGCATTATAAAGGTAATAGATAAACATATCCATTTTTAAAACTATCAAAACTTCGGCTCAGGTCATGATCTCACGGTTCATGGGTTCAAGCCCCACATCGGGCTCTGTGCTGGCAGCTAGCACAGGGCCTGGAGTCTGCTTTGGATTCTGTGTCTCCCTCTCTCTCTGACCCTCCCCTGCTCATGCTGTCTCTATCTCTCAAAAATAAATAAAATATTAAAAAAAAACTATCAAAATCCCCTTCTAAGTTAGTTTTCCTAGGATCCTCACATCAGCAAACGGGGATACAAAGGCTCAAACTCAGATTTTTACTGTTGTTTTCCAAAAATCTTCAAGTCCAGAGTTCTTGTGACTACTTCTGCTGCTTCCCAGGTGTCTAAAGATAAACACCAAAGGAAGGATAGTGTCAGAGGTATTACTAGGGACATCACAGAACTCGATTCCATGGCAATCCTACTCACCTTTATGCTTTTCACTGCAGTGAGTACCACAAGTACTCACTTATTAAGTATACTTAATACTCACAAGTATTAAGACTTTAAGAGATGGCTAGGCAGAAGTGTAAAGACTGTTTTCAGCTCACCTGCTGAAGGTCTCCGGTAGAGGCACTAATGATGAGAGCTGGTATAACCATGAAGCAGGCATTGTAGAAAAGCACTCCATATTTCCCTAACTCCTACAACAAAGAAAACACTGAATTTTAGAAATACGAAGCATCAAATTTCCTGAAGGCATTTCTACAACTATGTACTTATGCAAAGTTAAAAATCTATTCTGACCAACTCTGTGTTGGAATAATTTCAGTAAATTCCTAATGTAAAATGCTTCATTTCAAGCATAAAATGATAGCAAAATAAACATTTGTTTTACGCAAAAATGGCAGATAAAATGGAATAATATGGATGGCCTCTGAGGCTCCACCCATCTCTAACATTCTAATTTTTTTTAAGCATTTTGTATTCAAAATGGGAAGTCTGGAACAAAATAAAGAACATTTAAAATGTTAATATAAACACAACTCCTTAAAAACATCTGCTCTCTCTGGTAAGGAACAGCAGTGTTAAAACACAAGGTATCTCATTTTCTAATCTTGCATACATTTACTTTTCATTAAAGTGGCTTCACCACTTCACCATTTTTCATAAAGGGTGACATATTGTGACCCTCGAAAGGCAAAAAAACCTGTTTTTGTAAAACTGCCACCAGTAAAAAAAACAAAGGGCCCTGCAGGAAAAACGGTGCAGATAAAAAACAGCTCGCAGAAATGAGTCTGTCCATCAAAGCCAACTCCCTCACTCAACACAAAGAACTTGGAACAAAGCAACATATGCCTGGCTCATCCTCCGGAGCTTCCGGAACAGCTGGGGTGGGGTAAGTGCTATCCCCCCAACACCCTAGGACGCGGAGGCGGTCATGTGCAAGAAATGCCCATCTGCCCACCAGTCAGTCTCTGGGGAGACGGCTCAGTTACTTATCAGGATCAGCAGTTCCTGCTGGGCAGGACCTTACAAATGATCCATTCCACAGATGAAGAAACTGAGGTTTGGAGAAGTTTAAGGATTTGAGTCACAACGACCAGTAAGCAGCAAAACTTTTATCTGTAACCCACAACTTCAGACTCTCACACTGGAGTGGCTCTCAGAATACCCCTGACTTCGCCTTGGTCACTGATTAAGATGGCAAAAACAAAACAAAACAAAAAAAGCTCCTTTTAATTTTAATTTGTTTCTCAAAATAATCTCCTCTTTATATATTCTGACTTTGCATCTAAAATAGTGGTATCTTATCCCTTCCTGTCTTATTTTCACCCAAAACTTTTTAAGGTAAGGGATCACAAGAACCCATACAAACCAGATAACTGAAAAGAAATTAATGATTTATAAAGCATATCATGTAAATTAAATTACATGCCAACTTTACAAATCCATTTTATTTTTTCATGTAATTTCAGGGGCCAGATGACAAAGCCTAAAAATCAAAGGAGTGAAGATTTGGTACCTTTGGGTCCATTTTCTGTTTGGTATAAACTCCATTTGCTGCTGTGAAGATATCATTCAGGAATACAAAAATATAGCCTTCCAAGTTAAAAGCAAGGTCAGAACTGGGAGGGAGAACACAAAGGGAGGATGATTATTCAGAAACTCACAATTTGGCCTTCAAGCCTGCCTGTTTTATCTTGCCCTAATCAAATCCACAAGTGATGCTAGTAACCACCTTTTTTTCCTCTGGCGTATTTCCCCCCTCTTTGGTTAATTCCTCTGCTTTCCCTCCAGACAAAACAAAAGCAGGCCATCAGGTGGCTTCAATTTAATCATGAATGGCTTAAAACCAGAGCAACATTAAGCATCTTCCTTTAACTGCAAAGCCCCTTCTTTGGCTAACTGATCAACTGGCGTAATAATTGGTGAGCTCTGCTTTTCTAAGGGGAACGATTTGTCAAACCCACCCAGTGGCTTTGCTTATTGTAATAAACAGGGCCATCTCCAGGGGAGATGCCCTGTGGAGACAGCTGGGCAGTGCCTGGGGCAAGAGGGGTCAAATGAGGAACTGACACCTCCATCTGGTGCCCAGCCAGTCACATCATTCACCAGCATGCCCCCACCCTGCCCATCAAAAAGGCAAGACAGAGATGCATTCCTTCTCTGCAATTCCTCTAAGGCTAACTTCTCCCCATTCTTTTGAAACATCTTTTCTACTTCCACTTTATATAAATAATACTAGTATAAAAATGTTTGAGGGCACATAGCACAGGGAGAGAAAGAACAGCTGAGCCATGATATGACTCACTACTACACTTGATCCTACAGACCATAGCAGACCCATGTCATAATTCATAAATACATATCATCAAGGAGGTTTCTTCCACCCTCTCAGGTTCGGTGACCAGAGCCTGCAAATTTAACTGACAGTAGCTTAACAAGAGAAAAGGAATACAACTTTTATTAAATATTTCACATGTGCAGGAGTTCACAAAAAAAGAAATGAATCTCAAGTGGTTAGACTCTAGGGCTTATATATCATTTTAAGAAAAAAGAGGTTTGAATTCCAAGGAACAAATAAATTATGGAGAAACGACTAGAATATATATCGGGGACCTAATGGAAGATAAGGGTTAGTGTAGTAAGGTTTATTTATGCAGACTCATCTCAGTGCGGATTCTCCATCTCCAGTGAAAAGAACTGCCTTCCTACTCCTGGTGCAGGAGAAGGGAGGGCACCTTCACAAAGGGAAATTTATGGTCTGCTTTTAGGCAGGCAAGGGGAAGACAGAGAACTCTTCCCACATCTGTTATTTCTCAATTGCCTTCAGCTCAAAATAATGTTTATGCCTAAGTGGCATATTTTAGATGGCATATCCTGATTTCCTGAAATATAAAAATTTGTTTTAAAGAAAGATTATTTCTAACCAAAGAAAAGGAAATAGGCAAAAATTGCATCAAAATCTGAATGCAGGGGTGCCTGGGTGGCTCAGTCGGTTAAGCATCCAACTTCGGCTCAGGTCATGATCTCACGATTCGTGGGTTCGAGCCCTGCATCAGGCTCTGTGCTGACAGCTAGGTCAGAGCCTGGAGCCTGTTTCAGATTCTGTGTCTCCCACTCTTTCTGACCCTCCCCTGCTCACACTGTCTCTCTCTCTCTCTCAGGAAAAAAAAAATCTGAAGGCAAACTAAACCAAATCTGCTTAAGGCTTCTGCTGGCATTATTAACTACAAATATATTTGTGAGAATGTAAATTAATTTTAGATCATCATAAATCAGAATTCTCTGGCTCAATCACAAAAAACAAAATCTCTCAAAATAAGGGTCTTCCAAATCTCACGGAACCTTCCTACCCACATCTGGCTCCATGTTAAGAGGTGTCTGCTGTTCCACAAAATGACAAAGAATCGAATGGATAAAAGAAACAGGTTTCTAGGGGAGTGGAAGGGTGTGGCTTACTTCCTCCCAGAGCCCAAGGAGAGCCCAGGAAGAGCCCAGGGAGAGCCTAGGGAGAGCCCAGGGAGAGCCCAGCGAGAGCCCAGCGAGAGCCCAGGGAGAGCCTAGGGAGAGCCCAGGGAGAGCCCAGCGAGAGCCCAGCGAGAGCCCAGCGAGAGCCCAAGGGAAATTCCCAGGTTCTCAGGTCTCCTGCTCCAGGGGCCTCAAGTTTCCCAGCACCACTTGTTTAGGCCACTGGTAAAAGCATGGAAGTTTGGGAAGGATTCACTTGCTTTAATAAATGAGAGCAGATTCACAGTTAGCCCTTGTAGTTGTCAGTTAGGGCTGTTTACAGACATATTTCAATTTTTTTCTGGCCATGTGACTTGCTTCAGCAAATAAAATGTAAGAAGAAGTAATGCATGGCATTTCCAGGCAAAAGCTTGAAGAGCTGGGGCACAATTCCCCACAAGCCTTCTTCTCTCCTGAATGAGGACAAAAGCCCCTTTTTTTAAAAAAAAATTTTTTTATAGTTTATTTTGAGACAGAGTGTGAGTGGGGGAGGGGCAGAGAGAGAGGGAGACACAGAATCTGAAACAGGCTCCAGCCTCCGAGCTGTCAGTATAGAGCCCGATGCAGGGCTCAAACCCACAATCTGTGAGATCTGACCTGAGCCGAAGTCCGACGCTTAACCGACTGAGCCACCCAGGTGCCCCCAAAAGCCCCTTTTAAGGCAAGGGCTCCATCAGCCTGGGTCTCTGAGTAGCTACAATGAGCTGAGCACCCTCACAGCGTTAACTAATGTTGGTCTGAGTAAGTAGTGTGAGCAGGATCTATTTGGTACGTAAATATGGGAGCTGGTTGTTACAGCAGCATAAACTGGCTCATCTGACTGAATCAGCTCTACAGTCAGATGAGGAGGTGATTTGAATGAGCAGAGAGAAGGCTGAGGTCACAACTGGCCTGCAGCTAAGAACCGTGCTTCTCACCCACCTAAATGGTATCCTTTCTGTGGGTGCTAAGGGCAGGAAAGGTTGAGAAGTACTGTTCAAGCTGGCTCCTGGGGGACAGTGAGACACTCTGGGAACACTACCCTTTGAGCTCATTAGAAGAGCACATGGATAAGTATGAGCTGAATTTCTACTCACTGGGTCTGGAAATACGCCTCCATACTCCTTCAGCATCTGAAGCGCCATTCCTCACCAAAGCCTTACAGACATTTTCATAAACCATTTTTTTGTAAAAGTATACAACTGACTAGTAGGAGCTCTAAGAAACTTAGAAAAGAGAGGCTGATATTTCAAAGCACTGTGGGAGGAGGGCACTTTCAACAGAGCACCTCCCTCTTTTAGCTACTTTGCTCCTATGATCATCTTGGAACAAAATCTTCACGACTATGACAGGCTCTAAGTGCTGCTGTTTAATGTCCACATACCAGACCTGAAACAGTGCTGAAAGCAGAGGCCAGCTTGCAAGAGGGCTGAAAGCCACAGATAGGACTGGGGACAGGGACGTTACAGACGAAAATGTAAATAATAAACTTTGGTTAGGCAAGGGACTAAGCACATTTATAATAATAAAAAAACAAACAAATAAATTGCCAATATCTGTCCTCATCTGGCATGCTGTATTTTCTAATCTGTTTCTTTTTACTTATTTTCTGTCTCCACCAACTAGAATGGAAGCTCAGTGCAGGCAAGGATTCTTGTAGGTTTTATTAACTGCTGGACTCCCCAGCACCCAGAACGGTGCCGGGCATATAGTACATACTCAACATGTATTTGGTGAACTTGGCCATACGCTAGAGTAAACCCCAGTTTACTATTTCATTTCATTCTCACTAAGATCCTGTTATGTGGATTCTAACCTCCATTTCATAGTTGAAATAACTGGGGCAGGGGGAGTGCAGGGAGGCTAAACCACTTATCCTGGTAGCACAGCTAGTAAGTGAGGAGACTAGAATAAGAGAATATCTATACCCTTATTTAATTTGCAATTAATGATCCAGAACTCTTATTTCTTAATCAGTTAAGGAAACGAATTTAACTGAAATTCATCCACTCTTTGCATTCTTCCCTTCACTTGGTTAGGGTTTTGTTGTTGTTGTTTTTTTTTTTTTCTATTATGTTCTTTACAGAAGAGTAAAACTGAGGCACAGAAAGGCTTGAGAAACAGCTGACAAGAGGCTGGGCTAAGTTTTGGATCCAGGGAATGTAACTGCACATATGCTTTAAGCACCAGGCTATAAAAGCCAGGAACCTAGGGCACCTGGGTGGCTCAGTTGATTATGTATCCAACTTTGGATCATGTCATGATCTCATGGTCCATGAGTTCGAGCCCCACATTGGCTCTGTGCTGACATAGAGCCTGGAGCCTGCTTTGGATTATGTGTCTCCCTTTCTCTCTGTCCCTCCCCCACTCACACTCTGTCTCTCTCTCTCTCTCTCTTTCTCAGGAGACTCTGCTGGTCCATTTATCCATGGATTTTTTTTTCAATAAATACAGTACAATTCTGTAAACGTATTTTCTCTTCCTTATGATTTTCTTAACACTTTTCTTTAGCTCACTTTACTTTAGGAATACAGTATAGAATATATAACATAAAAAATGTGTTAATTGACTATGTTATCAGTTAAGACTTTCAGTTGACAATAGGCTATTGTAGTGAAGTTTTTAGGGAGTTAAAAGTTATACTCAGAGTCTGGGGGGGTGAGGAGGGCGGTTGGCACCCTTAATCCCTGTGTTGTTCAAGGGTCAACTTAGTCATGCACTGGTATTGGCTCATGTCCCAAATATATAAATACATTTAATGAGAGTGTCCCACTTGGGAAACAGACTGCTAAGGAATCACAGGTGATAAAACAAATCATCATACAAGAGCTTTATAAAGGTGTTATTCTTGACCAAATGCCCAAGAACTTTTCAAGTAAATATTTTATACTGAAGACATTCAGTAATAAAAGCAAATAGTTTACTCCTTTTTATGAAAAAAAAAAAAAGCTGTATTCATATCTTCTAATGTTCCCTTTATACATCAAAAATGTTCTGGCCAAGTTGAACCCAGTCTGACTTGCACAGAACACATGGGGAACCCACTAACATCAACAGACTTGTCTCTTGGCTGCTCAATTCAACTGCAGACAGATGGAAAACGGAAAATGAAGGCGGGGTAGGGCCTATTGTCAAAGGCACAAAGAAGCTACTGAGGATAAACAGTCCAGAGTCTTACCCAGCTGCTATGAAAGCACCAAATATGATGGTAAAAACACTGACGATGATGTTCAAGGAATACTGTTTCCTGGAATAAATAAATGGATGGACGGATGGATGGATGGATAGAGAAGGAAAGAAAAAGAGGAAAAAATATGGATTATAATTCTTAAATTGAAAATAGACATTGCTCACAGTTTTATAGCTAAAATCTAATGGACATCGCTTTACAGAAAGCACTGTAATTATCTGTAAATGGATTAATAAATCAGACTAAATGTCTTTCTTAAACAGTGGTCTAATCTAATTATAAGTGTATTCCTCTGTTCTCATTAGAAAGATGCAGAAGAGCCTGCCAGCAGTTCTAGTTGGTCTTATATCAAGCATCCAAAGACTAAGATAAAATTCAACAGTAGGACTTAGAACATTGGGCCATCATCCAAATTTCATTGGCTAAATAATCCTCCCAAGAAAAATCAGGAATCATCTTTTCTGATGTTGGTCTGAATATCTTTATGAGACATTTTAAACTAACATTATAAAAATTAGTTTATTCCTATGTACTATCGTAATCACTGCATCAGAAAGGATTTCCTGCATTCCTATTCTGTATGTACACATGGAGAATGTTTCCTCTATATTCCTGTCAGGGTATATTCCAGCTGGCTCAGGAAACATACTTACATCTGTTTTGGGGTGGTTGGGTTGTTGTTTTTTTTTTAATTATTTTCAATTACAAATATGTATTATTAGTCTAATATAAAATTACAAGTAAAAAAATCACACATTATATTCTTAGGGAATCACAGAGACAGGAGACTGCTTTTAAGTGAGTAAACCATTTATCCTTAAGTTCTTGTTACTAGCAATTCAAACTGACGATTTGGAAAAACAAATAGATGTTGAGAACTTGCTAAGCAAAAATAATGTGGGGTGAGGGGGTAGGACAGGAGGGGAATAGAGGAAACACAAAAATTACCCAAGTATGATGGTTTCCAGGAGTAAAGTGAGTGGAATGGTAAATTTCCTGAGCACAGTGAACATCGGCAAGCTGTCGGGAAAAGATTCAAGTATAATAACATCAGACACCAAGTATTTTTTACCATGCCCACCAACTTTCCAAATTAAATATAAGAAATTAACCTTAATTCTCACATATGACATTAACAAATCACGTTAAATAATAGAAATGGAGATTTAAGAGTTTCGTGCCACTTTTGCTGATTAGCAATTTTTTTTTACTTAATAGCAATTTTTAAAAATCTTGCCATCCAACACCTGCAAAGATTGTGCTAAAACTACAAAGACTATGCTAAAGTACTGTATACAATGTAAACCAAAACATCCTCTGGCAAATTAAGTTGGCACTACGTATTAACAGTCATTAAGTGCCAACCTTGGACCTAATTATTTCTTTTTGGGAAATTTAACCTAAGGTAATAATACAAACAAGAGAAAAAACCCAGGCGCACAAATGTGTTCATTGCAATGGTGTTTTTGGAGAAAACATCAGAAACATCTTAAAAGTCACACAGTAAGGGGCCCCTGGGTGCCTCAGTATGTTGAGCATCTGACTTCAGCTCAGGTCATGATCTTGTGGTTCGTGGGTTTGAGCCCCGCATCAGGCTCTGTGCTGACAGCTCAGAGCCTGGAGCCTACTTCGCATTCTGTCTCCCTCTCCCTCTGCCCCTCCACTACTCACTCTCTGTCCCTCTCTGTTCCTTAAAATATAAAATAAAATGTAAAAAAAAAAAAAAAAGTCACACAATACGACAATGATTAAAAAATATGATAAATCTACCTGAGGGAACAGGTATAAATATAAAACTTTATACCACTACTGGAAAATGAATATTAAATAAAACAAGGATACAGAACTATGTAGAGGCTATAACTGTAACACATTCTACATATGGGCAAAGACTGAAATCAATATTTAAAATAATATGTTAGAGAATAAAGTTATGGGTTATGTTTCCCTAAAACTGTATGTAAGGAGGCTATATTCATTGCTTGTTAAGAAAAAACATAAGAACTTTCACTGGGCCTCAAAACCTACAGGTTCCAAAACACAGCTCAATGCTCAGCCCAAAACACTGCCGAGGCTGGAACCGCCAACTTCCACCTGCTTTTAGTTGTCACCCTGAGAAGATGGTGACCTGGAGAAAACAAGTCAGAACCACTGCCAGGACAGTGGTGACCATCTCCTCCGGACCAGACCTGTGCAGGGGTTCCGCGTGATCAATAACACCCCAACCAGAGAACAAGTACAGAACCTTCAGGAGCTTTATATGCACACTTAAAGATGTCTTATGAGACTGATTAGAACTGCCTTTTTCAAAGCACCCAAAACTTAATTAATTCCAAAAAGTATTTTTGATGATGCCTTACAAAAGCAATTAAGTTATACTTAATGATAAAAAGCTGAATGTTTTCCCCTTAAGAGCAGTATTGAGACCAGAATGTTAGCTCTCAACACTACATCACTTCAGCATATATTTGGGATTCTAGAAGAGGCAATTAAGCTGGAAAAAAAAAAAAAAGCATACTGTTTAGAAAGGAAGAAATAAAGTTACCTCTATTTGCAAATGACATGTATAGAAAATCCTAAGGAATCCACTAAGAGTTATCAGAACTAATTGGTAAGCAAGAGTGCAGGAAAAAATTTGAAAATACAAATATCAATTATACTTCTATACACTAGCAATGAACAATCCAAAAAGGGAATTAAAACAATTTCATTAATGAGAGCATCAAAAAGAACAAAATGCTCAGAAATAAATTTAAGAAAAAAGTGTAAGACTTGTATACTAAAAACTACAAAATATTGTGAGGATTAAAGAAGCGTTAAGTGGAAAGATAATCCATGTTTCTGGATCGATAAGCTTAAAATTGTTAAAGTATTAGAAATACTCCCAAATAGATTTATAGATTCAACACAATCCCAATGAAAATCTCAATTGGCTTCCCCTTCCCCTGAAATTGACAAGCTGATGCTAAAATCGATATGGTGAGGCACCTGACTGGCTCACACAGTAGGACATGAGACTGCTGATCTCAGGGTCATGAGTTCAAGCCCCACATTGAGCATAGAGCCTACTTAATTGGGGTTGGCGTACCTGAGTGGCTCAGTAGGTTAAGTGTCCAACTTCAGCTCAGGTCATGATCTCGCAGTGCACAGGTTCAAGCCCCACATCAGGCTCTGTACTGACAGCTCAGAGCCTGGAGCCTGCTTCAGATTCTGTGCCTCCCTCTCTCTGCCTCTCCCCTGCTCACGCTCTGTCTCTCTTTCCTTCTCAAAAATAAATGGATATTTAAAAAAAAATTTAATTAACAAATAAAAAAATAAATAAAGATTGGGGTACCTGGGTGGCTCACTTGGTTGAGTATCTGACTCTTGATTTCAGCTCAGGTCATGATTCCAGGGTTGTGGAACTGAGCCCCACGTCAGGCTCTGAACTGAGTATGGAGCCTGCTTAAGATTCCACCCCCCTCTCTCTCTCCCCCTCTGCCCCTCTCCTCAGCTTTCACTTTTTCTCTAAAATAAAAAAACTTTATGGGCATGTGGGAGAGAGGAAGTGGGGCGATGGGCATGGAGGAGGGCACTTGTTGGGATGAGCACTGGGTGTTATATGGAAAACCAACTAGACAATAAACTATGAAAGAAAAAAAAGAAACTCTTAATAAGTACATGGTGAAAGCCCTAAAAAATAAAAAAATAGGGGTGCCAGGGTGGCTCAGTCGGTTAAGCATCCGACTTCAGCTCAGGTCATGATCTCACGGTTTGTGGGTTCGACCCCCACATTGGGCTCTGTGCTGACGGCTCAGAGCCTGTTTCAGATTTTGTGTTTCCCTCTCTCTCTGCCCCTCCCCACTCATTCTCTGTCTCTTAAAACTGAATAAATGCTAAAAATAAATAAATAAATGAAATAAAAATAATAAAATAAATAAATTTTTAAATCTATAAAAAATAAAGATTAAAAAAATCAAATTATGGTAATGCAAGAAAACCAGAGAGCTAGAACAATCTTGCAAAAAAACAAAGTTGGTGGACCCAATGTCAAAACTTATTATAAAGCTACAATTAGTATTATCTAGTTATTGATTATAGACATATAATCAAAGGAATAGGATTAAAAATCAAGAAATAAATCCATACAATTATGGTCAATTCATTCTCAACAAGAGCTCCAAAATAATACAATTATTTTGTAAAAAAATCTTTTCCACAAATGGTGCTGAGACAACTGAATATCCATCCACATCCAAAAGAATGAATTTGAACCTCTTTCTCACACCACATACAAGGTTTTTTCACATAACATATGAAAGACCTAAATATGGGAGCTAAAATTACTAAATTCTTTGAAGAAAGCACAGGGATAAGTCTTCCTGACCTTGTATTAGGCAGTCTTCTTAGATATAATACCAAAAGTACAAGCAACAAAAGAAAAACTTGATAAATTAGACTTCATCAAAATTTCCAACTTTTATAAATGGGTAGTCAAAAGGTGATACATATGAAAAATAGAATATGATTTAGCCTTTATAAAAGAATTAAAAAGGGGCGCCTGGGTGGCTTAGTCGGTTAAGCTTCCGACTTTCACTTAGGTCATGATCTCGCGGTTCGTGGGTTCGAGCCCCGCGTCGGGCTCTGTGCTGACTGCCAGCTCAGAGCCTGGAGCCTGTTTCAGTCTGTGACTCCCTCTCTCTCTGACCCTCCCCTGCTCACGCTGTCTCTCTCTCTCTCTCTCTCTTCTATAAATAAATAAAAACATTAAAAAAAAATTAAAAAAAAAAAGAATTAAAAAAAAAAAAGAATAGGGGTGTCTGGCTAGCTCAGTGGGTAGAGCATGTGACTCATGATTTTGGGGTTCTAAGTTCAAACCCCAAGTTGGATGTAGAATCTCTTAAATAAAGAAGAAAATATTTTAAAATAAAAAGAAAATCTTTTTATTTATTTATTTATTTTTTAAATGTTTTTTATTTATTTCTAGGAGAGAGAGAGAGACAGCGTGAGCAGGGGAGGGTCAGAGAGAGAGGGAGTCACAGACTGAAACAGGCTCCAGGCTCTGAGCTGGCAGTCAGCACAGAGCCCGACGCGGGGCTCGAACCCACGAACCGCGAGATCACGACCCGAGCGAAAGTCGGACGCTTAACCAACTACGCCACCCGGGCGCCCCAAGAAAATCTTTTTAAAAAGAATAAAATTCTTATACATGTTACAACATGAGTGAACCTTGAAAACATTATGCTAATTGAAATAAACTTGTAACTTAAAAAATAACAAAGACTGTATCATTTCACTTGTATGAAATATCTGCTGTAGGCAAATTCATGGAGACAGAATGTAATATAGAGGTTACCAGTGGCTAGAAGCATGAGAAAATTGTTATTTTTCAATGGCTGCAGAGCTTCAGTATAAGATGATGTTAAAGTTCAAGAAATAGATAATGGAGATGGTTACTCAACATATGAATATACTGAATGCCAATCAACTATACACTTAAAAAATGGTTAAAATGGTAAATTTTATGTGACATATTTTTTACCTTAAGTGTTAATTAAATTTTTAAAAACTTAAAACTTTTCTGTTTCAAAGTATACCATTAAGAGAGTAAAAAGACAACCTACAAAATAAGAGAAAACTTTGCAGTCATATGTGTTGTGTTAAGGGACCTGTACATAGAATACTAAAGAGGACTTACAACTTAATAACAAAGAGATGAATAACCATATTAAAACTAGGCAGAAGATGTGAATAGATATTTCTCTAAAAATATATAGCTAGCTAGATAGATGGCCAATAAGCACATGAAAAGATATTCAACATCATTAATCATCAGAAAAATGTAATCAAAACCATGTACTTCACAACTACTAGAAAAGGCATAATCATTTCTGATATCTATGACAGATGATAACAAATTTGGCAGGATGTAGAGACGCTGTCACCCTCTTACATGGCTGGTGGGACTGTAAATTGTAGTCACTTTGGGAACTAGTTTGACAGTTCCACAAAATGTTAAACAGACAACTGCCATATGACCAGCAATCCTACTCCTAGGCATAGATCCAATCAATGGCAATCCCATTCTTCAATGAAGTCATCTTTGTCTCCTTTCTTTCTCCCATACATGTTATTTATCAGGAAATTGTGTTGGCTGGGCCTTCACAATATATCCACAACCTAGACTGTGACCTCAACATAACTTTTAACATTAAAAATAACCAGGGGATGGGTGCCTGTGTGGCTTGGATAGTTGAGCATCCAACTTCTGATTTGGACTCAGGTCATAATCCCCAGGGTCGTGGGAGAGAGCCCTACATCAGGCCTGCTTAAGATTCTCTCTCTCTTTCTGCCCCTCTCCCCTGCTCAGACACTCTTTCTAAACAATAAAATAAAATAAATGTATAAATACATAAAATATAAAATAAAATAAAATAAAATAAAATAATAAAATAAAATAAAATAAAATAAAATAAAATAAAAAATAACCAGGGGATCCGTGGAGAAATGGCAGGAAAAGTCCAAGATAAGCCTGGGACATCATGAGCCAGAAAGCAAGGAACTAATCAGACCACTGGGGCCCTAGAACATAAAAGTCAAATCACAAGGGCTCCCATTGGCCTGAGATGAGATAATGTGTGCATCAGAAGATTTATATAATGAATTGAAAACATCAAGTAAATGAAACAGATCAATAGAACAGACTAGAGCACCCAGAAATAAACCCACACAAATATAGTCAAATGACCTTTGACAAAGGAACAAACATAATTTAATGGAGAATGGATGGTCTTTTTAAGAAATCAAGTTCAAACCACTAGACATCTGCGTGCAAAAAATGGAATCTAGACAGACCCTACACCTTTCACAAATAAACTGAAAACAGACCATATGCTTAAATGTAAAATGCAAACTATCAAACTCCTGGAAGATAGCACAAGAGAAAATGTAGGTGATTTGGGGTTTGGCAATGAGTTCGTTTTTTTCTTAATTTTTAAAGAACTATTTTAGGGGCTCATGGGCGGCTCAGTCAGTTAAGCGTCCGACTTCAGCTCAAGTCATGACCTCATGGTTCATGGGTTCGAGCCCCTTGTCGGGCTCTGTGCTGACAGCTGAGAGCCTGGAGCCTGTTTCAGATTCTGTATCTCCCTCTCTCTCTGACCCTCCCCTGCTCATGCTGTCTCTATCTCTCTCAGAAATAAATAAAACATTAAAAAAAAAAAAAATTTTTTTTTTTTTTAATGTTTTATTTTTGAGAGAGAGGGGGAAAAAAAGGTAGAGCGGGGGAGGGGCAGAGAGCGAGGGAGACACAGAATGCGAAGCAGGTTCCAGGCTCTGAGCTGTCAGCACAGAGCCTGATGCGGGGCTCAAACTCGTGAACCACAAGATCATGACCTGAGCCAAAGTTGGATGCTTAACCAACAGAGCCACCCAGGCGCCCATAAGATTTTATTTTTTTAAGTAATCGCTACACCTAACATGGGATTCAAACTTACAACCCCAAGATCAAGAGTCACATGCTCCACCAACTGAGCCAGCCAGATACCTCTCAACAATGAGTTTTTAAACATAACACCAAAAGCATGAACCATGAGAGGAAAAATTGATATGGAACTTCATTAAAATTTAAAACTTTTCTGAAAGATAGTACTAGGAGAATGAAAAGACAAAACTACAGACTGAAAGAAAATAACTGCAAAACAGATCTGACAAAAGACTTCTATCAAGTAAATGGAAATTCATGAGTTTATAATGATTATAGTAAAAAACGAAAACAAACAAGCAAAAACTCTCACTGGTCATCACTGAAGGTGACAAGATACTAATTTATTATACTAAACACATATAAATAAAGCTTACACCTGCCTTTCTGTGTGAAATGGTGAAAGTCTGTATTTGTTAAAGAAGTTTAGGGGTGCCTGGGTGGCTCAGTCCATTAAGTGGCTGAGTTCAACTCAGGTCATGATCTCATGGTTTGTGGGTTCGAGCACTGCATTAAGCTCCCTGCTGACAGCTCAGAGCCTGGAGCCTGCTTCAGATTCTGTCTCCCTCTCTCTCTGTCCTCACCCCCACTCATGTGCTCACTCGCTCTCTCCCTCTCTCTCTCTCAAAAATAAATAAACATTAATAAATGGCATTTAAAAATAATTTAAAAAAAAGAATTTTACATAATACACGCAGGGTGATATAGTTAGAAAATCACCATTTTGCAACCTGTAATGAAATAATGGATCTAGAAAGTCATCATCAATGAATGCTAAAACAATTAGGTGAAAGACTGATGGGAGTGCCTGGGTGGCTCAGTTGGTTAGGTATCTGACTTTGGCTCAGGTCATGATCTCACAATTCACAAGCTGTGCTGACAGCTCAGAGCCTGGAGACCTCTTCTGATTCTGTGTCTCCCTTGCTCTCTGCCTCTCCCCAATTCATACTCTGTCTCTCTCTCTGTCTCTCTCAAAAGTAAATAAAACATTAAAAAAAAAAAAAGAAACAAAGAAAGACTGATGGGGTACTTTCTAATGAAGGGACCAGACTGACATCTTAAAATCATTAAAAGGGGAATCAACCAACGTAATATCATAAGTAGGACACTTGAAGAAATTTTTATGGGTGTTAGATATTGTGGTGATAGATTTCACAGACTTATACATAGGTCAAAACTTATCACTTGTGCATTTTAACTATATACAGTTTATTTTGTGCTAATTATATCTCAAAAAGGTGTTTTTTAAAAAAAAAAGTGGGCTATGGGCGCCTGGGTGGCTCAGTCAGTTAAGAGTCCAAAGCTATGATCTCACAGTTCATGGGATTAAGCCCCACATCAGGTTCAGTGCTGCTTGGTATTCTCTCTCCCTTCTCCCTCTCCCTCTGTCCTTCCTCTGCTCGTGCTCACTCTCTCTCTCTCTCTCTCTCTGTCAAAATAAATAAAATGAGCATTTTTTTAAAAGTGGACTAAAAAAAAACTAAAAAAAAAAGTGGTCTGAAATATTACACGCCCCGTCATGCAGTAGGAGGAACCCAACACCACCAATAAATGGATCTTGTCTGAAAAACTAAACCTAATATATCAAAGCAGTAGAACCAACTACCAGTTTATAGAAAATATGAAGCAGAGCAGAATGCATTACATGACACCATGTAAACAATCCTTCTTCCTCCTTAGTCTCATTTTCTGTTTAATTCTCCTCTCCCAGAAACTCCCTGGCACCCAAGAAGCCTCTTCTTCCCTCTTCTAAATTCATGTAGAGAAGTGTTTAAGAACACTTGTAATAAAGATGTTTCTAACATTGATACTTGCTCGCTACCTTGAGAACAGTGTTTTATCAATGAATGGATGTTATATTCATTCTTCAATGCATGCAGAGCCTTTTAGAACACTATAATAAGTATGCTTTTAAAAGCACTTTTAAAAAAAACAAACAAGAGGGGAACCTGGGTGGCTCAGTTGGTTAAGTGTCCGACTCTTGATCTCAGCTCAGGTCTCGAGTTCAAGGCCCTCACTGGGTTTCACACCCAGCCTACTTAAAAAAAAAAAAAAAAAAAAAGACAAAGAGGAAAAGGAAAAAGAGGGGAGGGGTGGGAGGGGAGAAACGGAGGGAGGAAGGGGGAGGAGGAATGGGGAGGAAGAGGGGGAGGGGGAAGAGGAAGAAGAGAAGCCTTCATCTGCAAAGATGAAACCCCCAGTGCAAGGAGTGAGCAGCTGTCAGTGTTAACCGAAACCATCTCCCACAGCTGCAGGTGAACTCACTCAGAGACAAGCCAAGAGGATCCACTGTAACACAGCAATAGCACCTAACTTCCAAAGCTTTAATACATATTTGATACAATTAAGGAAAAGTGTCCCAATCCCAGAAAGAAAGAAACAAACAAACAACTAAAATGTATAACCAAAATCAGTATTTCACATTTTGTTTTCCACAACTACAATCTGCCCTTTCCAAATAAGAGGGAAGATAAAAGGTCTAATTTTGGTTGTCAATTTTACATGTCCTTCTCCTTCTGATCTACCTCCCACCTGCCCCCTTTTTACTCTCACTAATCAAATAGGGTTTTCCTCAATCTGTTTCCCTTGGTACAAACTTCATTTTCTCTTTATTTACATCTTCATTCACGTGTGTTCATCAGACTACACGTTCACACCATGTTTTCTGATGTATCGCATGCCTTGCTCTTTCTATACTTCCATTTTCATCTTTTAAAGTACTTTTACTTTAGCCAAACAAAGGACCCTAAAATAAATGCAAATTGCAGAAGTATATAACACACTTAAAAATAACACCTGTCATTTATTTCTCTCTGTAGCAAACCTGACCTCCCCCAAATCTGACAGAATGTTCCTGCTTTTACAAAGCTGTGATGAAACTAAAGTTACACAAAACCATATTCATTCAAATGAATCTTCCTAGATACATCATACCTTCTCTGCCTTGATGCCCACAGATCTCACATTCTATTTTCAGACATGAATATAAAAGAAAAGAAATCAGCTTTTAAAATTCTTAAAGACATTAACAATTTACATTCAAAACTCTAGTTTTCTTAACTTATTAGATATTATTTTCTTCTGCATGTAGCGCATGTAATATTTGGAAAAAATCAAACTTGGCCTTTGCATTGTACCATTGGAAACAAACAAGTAAAGAACCTCCCAGCAACCATTCTCCTGCACTCTACTCTACCTTAATTTACTTGTGCTTGATAATCCACTTATGTGGTTTCCAATGTAGAGGAGAGGCAGGGGAAACAGCTTCCATGGAAAAAAAAAGAAAGAGAATATTTAATTAGAACTCCAATAATGATTTTCCTTCATATGTATAGATGGTGACACTCACTCCCCATTAGTAAGCAAATCATTTGAGTCCATTTCCCTGTAACAACTGTGAATTTTCCACAATCTAAAACACATCATGGGGCATTTTGGTGGTTCAGTCAGTTAAGCATCCGACTTCAGCTCAGGTCATGACCTCACAGTTGAGGAGTTCCAGCCCCACATTGGGCTCTGGCATTGAGCCCGCTTTGGAAACTCTGTCCCCCTCTTTCCACCCCTCCCCTGCTCTCTCTCTCTCTCTCTCATAAATAAATAAACCTTAAAATAAATAAATACATAAATAGGGGTGCCTGGGTGGCTTAGGTGGTTAAGCGTCTGCCTACAGCTCAGGTTATGATCTCACAGTTTGTGAATTCGAGCCCCACATCAGGCTCTCTACTGTCTGAGCAGAGCCCATTTCATACTCTCGGTCTGCCCCCCTCTCTCTGTCCCTCCCCTGCTTGCTCACAAAATATCTCTCTCAAAAATAAATAAAATAAAAACTTAATTAAATAAATAAAACACATCACTGGAATGTCACAAGGTTGGTGACCCTTTCAAAAAGCTTTGTCTACCACCCACATTACTTTGGAGTGACTTTATTTGTTTTCAAGGCCTAGAATGATTCCATATCTACCAAGGTTAAACAACATACCAGTAATATTTGAATTAGGTTTACTGAACTCTGAGCTCCTGAATTATTTTGTCAAGAGAAATACTGTTCAGAACATACTGAAGAAACATACAAAAGATCTACTCTTCCATAAATGAAAAAAAAAATTCTTTCATAAGGTCACACACAGAACTTTTTGACTGATACAATCTACAGCTATCAAGGTGAGTCCAGCATTTTTTTCCCACTAAGAAGACATTAAGCAATCCAGATAAGATATCCTTTGAAGGATTTTGAAATACTAAGTGCCATCTATCCCCCCCAAAAATTAGAAAATGTAATTATCAAGAGATTTGCTCAAGAAAGAAGACATAAGGAAGAGAGCACCTCACATCTAAGAATTTCCCCTTCATTCACAACATTCTGGTTGATAACCCAATAACACTGCTGGGATATTACAACTTTAGAGGTTCTTAGATATTGAAAAGAATCAGTTGCACCCCCCCCCATATGTAATTCAAAATAAAAACAATACTGACTTCTAGTTTATAGTAACAGTGAGCTATATGATCAGTGTTAATCCCTTTGGTGAAAACAATTAAAAGTGCCAGGTAAAATAACTTAAAACCTTCATAAAGGCATAAAATATGTGGGAGATAGTGAGTCTGCAGGCCAAAACTAAAGCATGAATGGAAACCCAGAGAGAAACAATGGAAGGCAGAGGGCAACACAATTGCATCATCTTCAAGGGTCTATCAGATTAGAATGCTACCCCCAACAAGAATGTCTTTCGAAAGCAAAGGAAAAATATGCAGTCTTCTTCAGACAAGCAAAAACTAAGGGAGTTTAAGCAGACCATTAGTAAAGGAAATTCTAAAGGAAATACTTTAATCAGGAGGAAAGTAGAAAGTGTGGGATGCAGAAAGGAGAGAAAAACAAAAGGAGCAGTAAATATGTGGATAAATATAAATAAACATTGGCATTGATTTTTTTAAAGAAAATGAAAATATACTGTGAGATTTACATAAAGTTATTCAAGTTCTGGTTGAAAAGAGCACATTAAATTGGGAGGACAGGTAAATGGGTAAAAGTCCTAACACTGTTGAAGGGGAAGATACTTATTTTTTTTTTAATGTTTTTTTCATTTCTTTGTTTTGAGAGAGAGAGAGCATGAGAAGGGAAGAGGCAGAGAAAGGGAGAGGCAGAATCCCAGCAGGCTCCACGCTGCCAGAAAAGAGCCCAACGTGGGGCTCAATTTCACCAGCCATGAAATCATGACCTGAGCTGAAATCAAGATTTGGACGCCTAACTGACTGAGCCACCCAGGGGCCTATGGGGAAATGATACACTTATTAATTAACTTTACAATTTGATAAGTCAGGTATACCTGCTATAATTTCCAGGTAACACTAAAAGAACTGAAACAGATCTACGTCATATATAGGTGATCCTTGGACAATGCAAAGCTTAGGGATGCCAACCCCCTACACAGTCAAAAATCCATGTATAGCTTTTGACTGCCCAAAAACTTAACTGCTAATAGCTTACTGTTAACCGGCAGCTTTAGTAATAACATAAACAGGCACTCATATTTTGTATGTTATACATGTTATGGATTATATTCTTACATAAAGTAAGCTAAAGAAAAGAAAATGTTAAGAAAATCATAAGAGGAAACACACTTACAACCCTGTACTGTATTCATCCAAAAAAAAAAAAATCCACATATGATGAACCTGTGCAGTTTAAATCCATCTTGTTCAAGGGTAAGCTGTGATTAAACACTTTACCTGGAAGATTTAACTAAAGTTTTAGGCATCTAATGATATGGCCTCAAAATAAATTAAACAAAACAAAAAACCTGACAGCAATACCAAGAGAAATAAATATATCCATAATCAGAGATGATGGCAACAATAATATTTTCTATTTCACACGCTCTTAAAGTGCGACTTTAACACTTTCTACCATCCAAAGGTAGGATCTAGGTCCCTTCCTCTTAAAATTGCATGGGACTGTTTCAATTAATAACATACAGATGAAATGATGCTATGTGACCTTTGAGGCTAAGTCATAAAAGGCAAGGCAGTTTTGCCCTGCTTGCTGGAACACTCACCCTGAAGAATTCAGCACCATGTAACCACTTTGACTCTCTTGAGCCTGCCATTTTGTAAGGAAGCCCAAGTTAGCCTACATGAGTGACCACATAGAGGCCTGAGATTATAGGAAGAGAGGTTTGTGACCAGCTCCCAGCTGCACTAACCAGCACCCCCATCGTTGTTTCCAATCTGTTATTACCTGTCTGAAACTATATGGAAGACTTAAGCCAGAACTACCGAGGTGAGGCTGTCCTGAATTCCTGAACCATAGTAACTGTGAGAAATAATATAATGATTATTGTTTTGAGTCACAAGTTAAGCAGCAAAAGATAACTAGAACAGGCATATAAGGGATCTACAAAAAGCCTACAACAAAAAGCATACTAAATGGTGAAATACTAAAAGCTTCCCCTTTGAGATCAGCCAGTATTAGCACTTCTATCAAAACTGCATTGAGTCCTACACCCTACAGTAGCAGAAGTAAAAGAATAAAAGTTAGAGTGTTGGAAAGAATGAAGCAAAACAGTCATTTTTTGTAGATGACCTGATTGTGAACGTAGAAAAATGTAAAGGAAACCACAAATAATGATTAATATTCTATAATTTTTGCATATAAAAATATATAAATGCAATATAAAAATATATCCCTCTGCTTTTCCAAATTATATACATATATATCCATGTTGTTCAATATATTATTATATACATTATATATTTATTACATATAATATATGATAATTATTATATATAATATATATTTATTATATAATGTTTACTTATTTATTTTGAGAGAAAGTGAGCAGGGGAGGGCAAGAGAGAGAGAGAATCCCAAGTAGTCTCCATGCCCAACATGGAGCCCCACATGGGGCTTGATCTCATGAACCATGAGATCATGACCTGAGCCAAAATCAAGGGTTGGATGCTTAACTGACTGAGCCACCCAGGTGTCCCCCAAACAATATATTTCTTAAAGATCTATGCAATAGCAAAAACTAAAAGAAAACAATGTTCAGAACAGTATTCTCTTTACAGAACATTCAAGAATAGCACAATGATTTCAGCAAAACGTTAATTCAGGAGTGCATATTAGAATAATTACAAATATAGTAAGAAAAGTATTATTACAAAAGTCAAAATAGTGGGTAAGGAGGATTTTGTGATTCTATCTCATGACCTAGGTCATGATTACATGGGTTATTACTCATTCAAGTTTACGTTCATATATGATGTTTTCTCTACATATATATTTCACAATGTTTAAGTGTTTAAAAACTATAGTATATCATAAACTAGGTGTAAGCAAACCCAACGATATTCTGATTTTTCCTATGATGACTGGATTTTCATTCATGATTGAAGTTATCATTATACTTCAATATTTTGTTTTTCTCTTTTTGTGGATATCCATGATTATTGATGCTATAAGCATTTGCTTAGTCAGCCAGATGATTTATCTAGTGATAGATGCCAGCATCTTTCCAGGCCTTAGAGACATAGTAGTGAAAAAGCCAGGAGAGGTTCTCACCTTCAAAGAACTGACAGTCTGACTTAACTTCCCTAAATCCAAAAATGTTATCAAAATACAATTAATACTACCTGTTTTATAGGATTGCTCTAAAATTAAATGGCTGGCTTAAAGCAACTGTTTATTGAACCAGCAACTGTTGCAACTGTTTAAAAAAGGTAGTTCTGTTCCACATTCCCAGGAAGGAAAAGAAGGTTTTAGATTTCTAGTTCCATCATAGGAAAACCCATGTATTTCTATGTGTATCAAATTATATTCTTCATTCCACTCACAGCTTTTATCAATCCAGGCTAAAAATGAAAACTTAAAACAGGATCAGAAAAGTAGGGCCTAAGAGCCAAATCTGGCCCATCTTTTGTTTTTGTAAATAAACTTTTATCAGAACACAATCACAGCAATTCATTTATATATCATGGTACAATGGCAGAGAGCTGAATACCTGCAACAGAGATGGTCTGGCCCACAAAGCCTAAATATTTACGATCTGCTTTTTTACCAAAAAAGTTTACCAAAACCTAATACTATTGGGCTTTGCCATTTCAGAAGACCATTGTATTATTTAGCGTCAATTGCTAAGCACACACTTTGACTATTACTACATTATGTTAATGAACAACTGAATGAATGATATAAAATCTCTATAAAGAAGTTTCTACCCAATGTAAGCAGGAAGTACAGTGTGTATGGAAGTGGACATGCATTCCAAGATCAATTTGTAATTCTATAGTATTTTCATATCTTCCACCATGGTTTTATGTATTCTTCATCACATACCTTCACGGGAACTTTCTTGTCAAAATCAGGGAAGTGAATTATGTTATTTAGTTTGGACACATACAGTATCATTATGGTAGCTGCCATCTAAAAAAAAGGGAAGGAGAAACTTCAGTAAAATATCTGGAAAGACATCTTCAGAAGAAAATACATTCATCAAAAATAAAATATTATCCAAAAAAATCCATTTTCTAGGTTCCAAAAAATAACTATTTCTTAGAATAACAAAATTGTTTTTCTTGCCAATGTATGAATTCCATCAGAACTATAGGCAAAAATAGGAGGAACTTAATGGAGAACTGTGGGGGAGAAGAAGGGGGGAAATAGTGGGGGAGGGGGAGAGAGGCAAACCATGAGAGACTCTTGAATGCTGAGAACAAACTGAGGACTGATGGGTGTGGGGGGGGGAAGGGGGGAGATGGGCATGGAGGAGGGCACTTGTGGGGATGAGCACTGGGTGTTATGTGGAAACCAGGGGGGAGATGGGCATGGAGGAGGGCACTTGTGGGGATGAGCACTGGGTGTTATGTGGAAACCAAGTTGACAATAAACTATTTGTAAAAAAAAAAAAAAAAGATAATTAAACTTTTATTTATAGTAAGAAAAAAAAGAACTATAGGCAAAAAGTGTTAAGATCAAATAGACTCACACACATATACATATATTATCTCAAGGGGCTGAAGGAACAGTGATGGAGTGAAACAAGATATGGTGTCTGCAAAACTGGCCAGAGTAACCACAGGTGGTGAGGCCACTCCTTGATCCTGGGCCATCCTTCCCATGTATTGATCATAGGGACACCTTCCCACATAAAGTGAGTGTGGGGGTATTGCGAGGGGGCAAACTCCATATATTCCTATAACACAGAAGACAAATTAAGAGGAAAAACAATTTTAAAAGGGATTTATTTTTCTCTTCAATCTTAGTTGGTACTGCAAAAATGTCTCCTTCAAATCCTATTAATCCAGAGTACAAGTATCTTAGAAATATTCTAGATCTTATTATGAAGTAAAAAATTTTAATATTATCTTCCTATACAAATTTTTGAACTTTCTCAATTGTCTCCATATTATTATGCAAAAATTTAAGACCTCCTTCACCATGATTATCACCCTAAACCTTGAGTCTAATGAGTTTACAAATGGAATATTTATGACAGATTGTAACATGAGCCCATCTTGAATTATAATTATAGTTTGTATTTATAACTGACCTTATAATTCTCACAGAAATATACTAACATTTACTTAGAATATCCTGTAACTCAGACTTTTAAATGAGGTCTGCTTCCCTCTTCCCCCACAAGTTGTGTATCAGAAAGGCTTTACTTTGAGCATAAGCCAGTGAATTTATTTGCCTTGGGGATTACTAAAGGCACATTATCACATATTCACTGATCTTTTAAAGTACTTTTTCCTACATATTTCACACTGAAACATTAAGATGATGTATTTTGGGCCTTAAGGAAATATAGTATTTTATTATATTTTTTTATTCCTAAAATGATACTGCAAAGAGTACCTTATCAGCAAAACCTTTAACCAGAATAATGTTTAATCACATGAATGAATCCTTCCCAAGATTCACAATTAAAAATTTAATTAACAGATGCAATTTTCACAATTTTATTTTTCTCCCTATAAATTAAAGCAAAACCAAACAAACAACAAAGAAAGGTGCCTTTGGTGCCTGTTACCACTTGCCCACTGGAAATCACCAGCATCTGAACAAGACAGTAAACAAGCCACAAATTAATATTAATGGGAAATTTCAGAAGCAGCCAAATGGGGTTAGTCTGAAAGCTCACCCAATCTTGTCTTTATACTTGAGAACAAAAATCACAAACTGCAGGAAGCAAAATGCAAACATGTTTAGTTAGGCCCACAGAGAGTTTTGTAAAAATCTGAATGTGTTGTCAGCATTTACAAATTTGATATAAAAATTCAAAATCTGTGCTTCTCTTGAAAAACCTCCAGAGGTGTTAAAATAAGGACTAAATGAACCCAATCTCATCTCCTGAGCCTTTTTCTCTCAGCACAGTGGCTTAAACTGAGTCCCAAATGCACACTTCAACTTTGGCAACTATGATCCCTGTCCCACCTCAGCCTCCAGTTTGCTCCCCACCAGGCCTGAGGCTTTTAGTCTTCTGACCCCTTGCTTTAAAGGGTAATTAAATTCAATTAAGGACGTTGAAACAAGTAATTGCTTTTTCCTACAAATATAACTGTTCCTAAATTATAGAAAGACTTATTAAAATGTGTGCCAACATTTCATATTGTTTCGCCAAAAGTACCATAATCTGGCCCTCTGTCAGCTCAATAAATTTGTAAACCACAATCTTAAACAAAAGTGCTTAAAGTTTCATTGTGTATAATGACAACTAATTAAGTGGTTAATTTTTCTTTTTCACTTACCTGTCCAATTCCAAGAAAAATTGGTGATGGGAAACTATAAAAAACACAAAACAACAAATAATTTTAGCAACTGATAAAAATTTGCAGTCTATAATATGTAATGGCAGGAGTTATTTAAAAATCTTAGACTTTTTCTTCATTCTCAGACCATTAAAACTTACAAAATTCACAGACTTTTCATTTGTTCATTTTTTTTTTCATCTTTAAACTGATTGTTGCCCAACTTGGTAATTTTCTATTGTTCCTTGTCTGTCATCCTATTAACAGACAACATGCCTATGTATATAGAAAGCCAAAATAATCTGGGGCTAAATTATTAGAATAAATAACTTTAGCAAGGTCACTGGCTACAAAATGGATACATGAAAAATATCATTTGTATATCTACATGCTGGAAGAAACAAAGTGAAAATTTTAAAGAGGTCATTTATTATAACACTAAAAGCACATCAAATAATACTGTGTATTTTATGATATTAAGAAATTATTTTTAATTTCTTAGGTATTGAGGTGGTGTTTTTTTAAAACGAAAAGAGCCCTTCTTATCTTTTAGAAATACATCTTGAAATGCATATGATGATATGTTTTTAATTTGCCTCAAAATAATTCGGGGGGGAAATGGTAGGATTGAGTGCAAGGGGGATACAAATGTAATAAACTGCTGACCCTGGGTGACGGCTACTGGATGATTCATTATACAGACATATCTCATTTTATCACTCTTCACTTTATTATGCTTTGCAGATACTTACAAAGTGAGGGTCTGCGGTAACCCTGCCTTGAGCAAGTCTATTGGTGCCATTTTTCCAACAGCATTTGCTCACTTCGTGTCTCAGTGTCACATTTTGATAATGCCCATGATATTTCACACTTTTTCATTATTATTATTCTTGTGGTGGCAATTTGTGACTAGTGATTATGACTACCTGAAAACTCAGATGATGGTTAGCATTTTTTAGCAATAAAGTATTTTTTAAAATAAGGTTATGTACATTGTTTTTCAGATATAATGCTACTGCACACTTAACAGACTACAGTATAGTGTAAACATAACTTTTATATGCCCTGGGAAACCACAAAATTCAATTGACTCACTTCACTGCAATATTTATTGTATTGTGGTGGTATAGAACCAAACCCACAACATCTCTTAAGTATGCCTATACTATTTTTTTTTTTAATAATACACCCAGGAACAAATCTAACAAAAGACTAATTAAAGATTACAATAAATGGATTCCATTACAACTGATGAGAGAAAAAATTCTTTAAAGGCCTGAGATAGAAGTCATTTTAGATTTCTTTCTAAGTCAGCATAACTATAGGTACACTTTGTTGAAACCAAAAGCCTGATTCATGGTCCACCAAGCATACAATGTACCCCTTCTTTGTGAATGAGAAGCCTAAAGGAAGACCATGTTGTCCTTAAGATAGCAATCAATGCTCCTACTCCCTATTCTTTGATGTTAAAACTTGTGATTCTTGCCGATATGCTAATATATAATGTTGAGCTTTTACAAAATGTGAAAACTGTAACCTGTAAAACCCTGTAAAAAACCATTCATCCTCTGGAGTTCTTTCTTCTCTGTAAAGAATGTTTCCTGAGCAGCTGTCCTTACTGGGGCTCGAATAAAACTCTCTTTCTTACTCTTAGAGATTCCAAAAGGTTTGTTCATTTCGCCTTGACACAATGGAAGAGAACAGAAATGAGGACAGATACACACATATATGACAACGATGACAGTGCACAGCAGTGAGGGAAAGATGATCTTTTAACAATCGGCACTGGATAATCTGGATGATACACTTCACACCACACTTAGCAAGGCAGCATGTCACCTCCCCCTGCTCACTACCCAAACCCGCACTGGCTCCCAGTCATTCTCTCAGAGAATATCACACACACACACACACACACACACACACACACACACACACACACCTACCTCAGTCCTCAATCTGCATATCAGAGGGAAATACACCTATTTCAGATAGGGCAAGAAGAGAGTAAAGAACTGACTTGCCTTATCAAAGAAAATAGAATGAATGTCTGGACAGTATCACCATGAGAATGAAATTCATTCTAGTGGATGGATACCAGTGGTGCCACCCAGATACCCACTTCTGGACTGAGGCATTCATTCCGCAGTTGCCCAAGAACATCCTCAGCTGAAGAAAGCTACTTTGCCAATGGCAAACACCCTCCCTGTGAGCATCCTGCATTCCAAGCCCCCACCCCAATCCAGAATTCTGTTGAGTCATCTCAGATCCAGAGCCCCTGGGATCAGGCTTTGTTGTGACTGCAGGACAGCCAAACCACACTTCCCTCTCTCCACCACAGTAGTGGATCCCAAGAGCTCTACCCAACATACTGCCTCTGCATCTCTGAGGCTACTTTCCAGAGAATATAATCTGCCACATCAAACAAAACCACAAGACAGCAACATAAACAAACAGTAAAACAATAACAACAAAAGGCTTACAGAAGGTAGACAAAGAGACCAGCTTAAAGGAAAATATAATACATAGAGAGAAAGAGCCCAATAAAGAGAGTAAATGATTCCTAGATAAAAAGCAAATTTGTTGACATAAGGGAAATAAATAAATTGTATCTTCAGATCTAAAAGCACACTGTTAAAGAAAGTGCGACATGAGTAAAGCAGCAGCCATGAAATTCAGACAAAAATTACCTGACACTGGCATCCACCAGTTAGGGGTCAAATCAAAATAATGAACTCAGCAATGGAGACACTGTGGTAAAAGGGCTGTTGCTGATTACTGTATCTGTTTAAATACACAACAGATTCAAACAACTGTGCGATTATAATTACACAACAGGATACCACATTATAAAGCAAGATATGGAGGGGAGGGGACACAGGAAGAAGCACAGAGCTCCATCCTTCACAGCACAGAGGTCTTACATTGAAGTGTATTTAAAATTGAAATACATTTACAAAATAAACATCATGAGATCAACTTCTTAATGTTGTTCATGACCTCTTCATCTTAGAAGGATCTTTTAAGAAACAGTAAGAAGAAATCTATATTTGAAAGTCAGTTAAAACTAAATTTCAAGCATACGCGCAACTTGCGATTTCCACTTAAAAATCAGCCTTCAAATGCAGCCAACGTGACAGACGGTGGGACGGCCCCTGGAACGCTGCAGTATGAGTTCACAGGGTCAGCTATGAAGCTGTCTTGCCAAAAAGGTTTAATCTGAATGTAATCAAACTTTTAGATCTAAATTTCAGTTGGGAAATAAGTTGAGTAAGATTTGAAAAAATAAATCAGACAATCCATAATGTGGGGACATTTTATAAAATACCTGGCCTAGGCTTTTCAAAAAGTCAATATCATGGAGAAGGAATGGGATGCGGGGGCTTTTCTAGATTAAAATAAACTATAAAGACATAACCCCATGCATTTCAGGAAGCCTGACTGGATCTTGATTTAAATGTTTAAAGCAACAATAAAACTCTCTTGGGACAACTGGGATGATTATATAATTGGTATTAGATTACTTTAGGAAATCATTAAAGTTCGTTAAAAAGCAAAAATGATACTATGCAGGAGAATACCTGTATTTCAGAAGAGACAAGCTAACAAATTTTGGAATGCAGCATCATGACATCTGCAACTTACTTCCAACAGTTTAGGGGGGGAAGCAAATATAACAAGACGTTCATTACTGCATCTTAGTGATGTGTGTATGGCTGTTCATTTTACTCTGCTTTCCATCTTTCTGTATGCTTGAAACTCCACAATAAAAAGTAGTAGTGGGGGGCACACAAGTGATCCTTAAAAAGTTAATTAAATAAAAGCCTCTTCTTTCCAAATTCTTTCTGGATTAAAGAAAACAATTTATAAATAAATGAGTAAATAATTAGTATCTATAATATGGACCCTCTTTTTAAAAAAAGCAATTGAGGGGCGCCCGGGTGGCTCAGTAGGTTAAGCGCCCGACTTCGGCTCAGGTCATGATCCCATGGTTTGTGGGTTCGAGCCCCGCATCGGGCTGTGCTGACAGCCAGCTCAGAGCCTGGAGCCTGTTTCGGATTCTGTGTCTCCCTCTCTCTCTAACCCTCCTCTGCTCCTGCTATCGCTCTCTCAGAAATAAATAAAACATTAAAAAAATTTTTTTAAAGCAATTGAACCTATACAACTATATCTCCAATCTATCCATCCGTCTAAAAATATGTGTGAAATTATTGCCTAATGTTATAGTATTTTTTAAAAATTTCACCTTAATATTTTTTCTTTTCTTTGAATTCTTTGTAATGATCACACCAGAATGACTCTTCTTGAAAAAAAAACAAACAAACAAAAACAGAGGGACGCCTAGCCCCTCCTCAGTTGGTGGAGGATGCAACTCTTGATCTCAAAGTCATGAGTTCAAGCCCCACAATGGGCACAGAGCTTACTTAAAATTTTTTTTCAATTTTTTTTAACATTTATTCATTTCCGAGAGACACAGAGACAGAATGTGAGCAGAGGAGGGGCAAGAAGAGAGGGAGACACAGAATCTGAAGCAGGCTCCAGGCTCTGAGCTGTCAGCACAGAGCATGATGCAGGGCTCGAACCTCATACCATGAGATCATGACCTGAGCCAAAGCAGGAGGCTTAACAGACTGAGTCACCCAGGCGCCCCCTAAAAAAATCCTTTTTTATTTTTTTAATGTTTATTTATTTTTGAGAAAGTGTTAGTGGGGGAGGGACAGCTAAAAAATTTTTAATAAATACTTCAAGATATTGATTCTAGGCAGCAGGAATATAGATAATTATTATTGTCTTCTTTGTGCATTTCTGTATTTAAATAATCCCTGATTTTTAAACTGAATTCTTGTAGGAGTAAACGGGAGGAAGTGAAGACAACAAGAGGTGTGTACACAAGTTCTAAGAGTCAGGTTCTGAAAGAAGAGAGAAATGAGGGTCTACCAGGGATCAAGAATGGGTTGTTCCTGCATGAGACACCGGAACACGTTTTCAGGGCTAGAGATGCTGAGGCGGAATGAGGAGGGATGGAAGGAGTGAGCAGTGCACCCACGGAGAGGAGGGCTGGACCTCGCACGGGCGAAAGGCTCCCTACATCTTTTTTTTTTTTTTAATTTTTTTATTTATTTCGGAGAGAGAGAGAGAGAGACAGCGTGAGCAGGGGAGGGTCAGAGAGAGAGGGAGTCACAGACTGAAACAGGCTCCAGGCTCTGAGCCGGCAGTCAGCACAGAGCCCGACGCGGGGCTCGAACCCACGAACCGCGAGATCATGACCTAAGCGAAAGTCGGACGCTTAACCGACTAAGCCACCCAGGCACCCCTGGCTCCCTACATCTTAGCACCAGGGCACCGTGGGGGCCTCATCTGACATCTCCTTTCCCACTGAAGTAGTGGGAGTGGAGGGTGGCAGTGGGAGAGGTTCCAGCAGGTAGGAGGAAGCAAAACCCCAGAAGGAATGAGTGGGTGGGAAGGAGAGCCCACTGGGCTTGGCGACCACCACTTTACAGCTCAGAAGTGGTTTCGTCCCACAGCAGTCTGACTGGCTCAGTGCTGAAGGAGGAAGGCAGGCAGGCAGCAGGCTGTGCCCGACCAGCGGACCAGCGCCAGCCCCAGTGGGCCCCCGAAGGGCTCTGAGCCTGGATGCGGAGACACCAGCCGGAGGCAGCGCTGGGCGTGGGCAGCCGGGCGGGTCACGGCCCAGCATGGACCACCCTGGGAGTGACTGCAGGAAGTAAGGCCACACGGGCTGCCAGGGTTCCCGGATGGCTCCAGAGTCCTCAGGGTTGACTCGGGACTGGATGCAGAAGACCAGGCCTCCTCGTTGTGAGAGTGACACGAGCTCAGGGGCCACCACAAAGGACCTTAAGGAGTGGTAAGTCTGGAGCCCACGAAGCCTGAGCAGTGGGGAGCCACGAGGACCCAACCTCACCTCCCAGCCACACCTGAGGTGAGATCAAGATCCAGATGCTTCCAGGAGCCAAGGAAGCAGCCAACCAGAAGCGACATCTTCAGAGAAAGCAGGTTTTCATCAAAGTAAGAGAAAATTACAAGTTGTTTTTGTTTTTAGTATGATTTCCAGTCCCCACCACTGGAGGCTCAATACAATATCTTTTATAAAAACCTCTCCAAGTAATTCACATGGTCAGGCAGGTTTGGAAACCACTGTGCTAAATGATCCCAATGTCCTGGGATGCATAAAGAACTAGATATACAGGAAATACTCATTGAACTGAATACAACTAAGCTCCATATTTTTATTAAGTACCATTAGTAAATTCTTGCATGTCCTAGAGAACAGTGTATTTCAATGGCAACAAAAAAGCAACTGCAGACCACCCCACAACCCTCATGAATCTGATTCCAAAGACCCACTAGTGTAACCAACTAGCCATAGATTCTTAGATGACCTTGCTTTTTCCTCCCACCCTCACAGATTCTGAGAGTTCATACCCTTCAAAGATTTCTCTGTCCAACTAGATAAATCTAGCATTCAATGAACCAGATAAGTCTAGCATAACAAATAATGAACACCACTGATCAGATGTGAACCCCAACCAGAAACAATCTGTTCAAAATGGAAGAGAAAAAAATATTCCTTAGGCTACATTCCCATGACCCTGTGGATCAGGTAATTGTCGAAATGCCCTTTCAATTCTACAACACAACATTCTATCTTCAAAAGCTAATGTTTGGATCAGATTTCTGTGGTTTATTGTTGTAACCAAACCAACCCAACCTTCCTCCCCTCAAAAATGTGCGCCTAAAACATTTTGAGATGAGAGAATGAACAATATTATTTGAACAGGGTTCTCCAACTGTATATTACATTACAGAAATGTGAAATGTTTATTTCTAAGGACTGAAAGAGTTTTGTCTTACAGAGAAAAAAACCTTCATTTCCTCCTTCAATCATGCAACTCAACATTTTAAAGATGGGAAGGCTAGAGTGTAAGATATCTCATATAATAATAATCCTTCCTAGTTGGAGACTTCCGCTTCATCTTCAAAGCACTTAACCACTGTTTACTTGTCCCTGCTTCCAACAAGAAGACACCTATTTTTGGAGGCAGTGACTGCCATGGCCAGAGAGCACACAGCTCATTCAGGTGCAGAAAAGAGAGACTGAACTTCAAACTTCATCCAACATAACTGCCAACCACTCCCAAACAAGCTTATTAATAGCATTCTCTCTTTTTTTTTTTTTAAATCAAAAGTGTTTTCAGTTTTCTTTTTCATTCATTAGTGTGTATTCTGTGTGTTAAATGATACAGGTTTAGGTATATGTTCATTCTAATTTCTTTGAGGCAGTGTTGGTGTTTCCCACGGACACCAGCAAGCATGCTTGCCACACACTGAAGAGACCTTGTAAAGAGCATGAACAGCTGTAAGATCACCAAAAAATATCCCAGTTCTCTCTCTTCCCTCCATATCTGCTGCTGCCCTGTGCCGCGGTCCAAGCCATCTTTTAGAATCATCTAGAATACTGCAATCACTTCCTAGCTCCTCTCCCTGCCTCCAGTGACATCAGTTCTCCAACCAGCAGCCAGCCAAAGAAATCTTTTTAAGCACAGAAATTATGTCATATCACTCCTGACGCTAAAACCTCCGAAGGGACTCCCAAATGCATTTAGACTAAAATTAAAACTACTTATCATGGTTTCCCTGCTTCCACCCTGGTCCCCAAAATGTGCTTTCAACACAGCAGCCGGAGTGATTTAGATCATGTTACTCCTCTGCTCAATACTGGCTGGTGGCTCCCACCTCCCTGAGAGCCTCCATGGCAGCTTCGTAGGCCCTCCAGGATCTAACAATCCATTACCCTCACCTAGTACCATTTCCCACCCAAACACCCTTCTCTTTCATGTTTGGAATATTCTTCCCTCAATTCCTTCACATCACTTATCTCTTGGCTCAAATGTCAACTCCTCAGTGAAGCTTCACTGATCACACTCAGATGGCAAACTCTTTCCCATGCCCACATTCCCCAACTCCCTTCCCTGCCTTATTTTTTTCTCCTGACCACACAACTGCATCTGACATAATATAAATTCTACCAGTTTATTTATTTATTGATTCAGTAGAAAGCTCCATGTAAGCTCTAGGAGGATAGATATTTGCTCCATGACATTTGGGGTTCTGATCTGCTTTATTCACTCCTATGTCCTAAGTGCCTAGAGTAGTGCCTGGCACTTAACAGGTGCTTAATAAATATTACTGAATGAATGAAGTCTGATCCTGCCTTCCCTGCCTCCCCAATCATCTCTCCTACCTTCTTCCATTTGCTCATGCCTTCTGTCTGGAATGCCCTAGTGCCAACCACTCCATCCCAGGCACTCTCATAACACAGCTGAAATCACCCTGCTTATTCTTGAACCCACTTCCTTTCTGTCTCTATCACCGGAATGGGATCTCCAGAGCAGCAACTCTGTGGTGATCACAGCTGCTTCCCTAGTGCCTGCAGTGGGCTTGGCACACAGTAAGTGCTCAGGAAGTATCTGTTGGTGGTGTAACCAGCCAAGCTCCTGTGGGTCTCAGCTTTCCCAAGTATAAAATAAGAAAGCTTAAGATACTCTCTGAGGTCTCTTTAGGCTCTTTACAAAATTCTGATTTTACAGTCTTGTAGCGCTGTATAGTTTGCTCTGGGAGGTCATTAACAGGGTTGTAATTATCCAGCTTTTGCATTTGAGGAAACTGCTGGCTTTGGGACTAGCCCAAGAGGCACAGCTATTAGATGGTGGAACTGGATCTAAATCCACAGTGCTTTCAGTGCTGCTATAAGGAGAGCTGAATTAAACAGGATTTTCTAGTCCTTACAAATAGGCTCAAGGAACCAGGAATCTGGTTTACGGCACACTAATCCAAGAAAGTACGTCATGTGAACTGCTAATGGTTTTCCCCAGTTTCCCATGAACACGCTGGTAATTTGAGAATGAATGATCAAACAATAAACACAAACTTATCCGCTCAGGACTCATCTGATTGTTGAACATCTCCATTTGTGTAAAGAACTGTTTGCCTTTAAAGTTCACATTCAGATCCCTTGTTTCAGCTCGCCGGTGCACTGGAAAGCTTTGGGGTGTAGCTCTACAAGCACGCTACGCAGAGTCTCCCAGTAGTAGTAAGCGGTGGAGACGCGTGTCCGCGATTGTGGAGAGTAAAATGACTCTGTTAGCTTGTCGCTTGGGTTTTGGAAGGTCCTGGCTCGGCGAAAACGCGGTCGATGCGCGGAGCACACCGCCACCCGCGTTGGCTCTGGAGTCGGTAGTGACACTCCGCGCTCGTCCCCGCCCGCCCGCGGACCCGGGCGCCGCCAAGGTGCTGGGAGCGCAGTGGCAGCCCCGCCGCGCCCCGAACCGCGGCACCTCGGGAACGGAAGGTCCCGGCACCCGGCGCCGCCGAGCAGCCTGCGCCCCGCGGACCCCGCGCGACCCCCCGGCGCCCTCCTCACCTGTAGGTGGTCAGGAGCGCCTTGTTGACCAGCACGATGAGGAAGGAGCAGGCCCCGTAGAAGAGGGCCGACAGCAGTTTGACCACCCGGGAGGGCGCCCGCGCAGAGGCGGCGTCCGCGTCCGCGCCCGCGCCCTCGGTCTGGCGGCCGGCCGTCATGTCCCGCGGCCGCCCGCCGCCCGCCCGCCTCCGCGGCGCTCCCGCCGCCCCGCCCCAGTTTCGTCCCCGCCCGCGGCCGGCCCGCGAGAGGGCGCGGCCGAAACAAGAAGGGCCGCGGCCACCCCGCGCGCGCGCGCCGGAGAGCGCCCCGCCGCTGCGGCGCCGACCGGCTGGAGCCCGCGCCCGGCGCTGCCGGGTGTGAGCTCGGAGAAACAGGGTCCCGACGTGAGAAGGCCTCGCTCCTTCCCGGCTGCCCTCCTGGGGACACGCTTCGGTTTGGTCGGTGTGTTTTGCCACTTTTCCGTATTTTTGGACATAATTTACGTAACAACGAAATGCAGGCTTTACAACCCACAGGTCGTTGTTTTGACAAATGCGTGCTCTTGTAAGCACCCAAATCAACGCATTAACATAACCTCAAAAAGTGCCATTTGTGCCCCACTGAAGTCAACCCCATCTCATTCTGATCTCCATTGCCGCGTTTCATTTCTTTTCTAGAATTTCACTAATAAATTTCATGTTAAGTATGTACTTTCAAGACTTTTTTGTACTCCTTTATTGCTTTTGCTGCCCACCCTTGTTGTTTCAACTTGCTGAGTAGGAGCACAGTTTACCTAGTCATGTTGGTGGGCATGTTGGTTGTTCCCCTTTTAGGGGTATTACCCAAAATGCTTCCATGACCATTGTGTACAAGTTCCTATGTGAAGCGACGTTTCCATTTCTCCCCGGCAAACACGCAGGAGGAAAAGTTAAGATGGGTGCAGTCGCAAGTCTTTTCTTGCCTCTGTGCTTTATGGCAAGTGCTCTCGTTACAGAAGAAGGGCCCATTTCTTTTCTAGGCAAATAGCAACTGGCTCCAGTGTCTGTTGTTCAAGTGAATTGAAAAGCCTCCCAGAACGGTCTACTTTGACCACACTCCACCTGCTGTAGCATTCTGTAAGTGTCCCATATTTTCTTTCTCAATAATTAACTTTTATCTGAAATTTTAGAGGCGCCGAGGTGGCTGAGTCGGTCAAGCATCTGAGTTCTGTTCAGGTCATGATCTTGCAGTTCCTAAGTTGGAGCCCAGCATAGGGCTCTGTGCTGACAGTTCAGAGCCTGGAGCCTGCTTCAGATTGTGTCCCCCCACCCCCCCACCTCAAAACTGAATAAATATTTTTAAAATACTTTTTTAAGGTGAAATTTTAGCTTATAGAAAAGCTGAAGATTTCGAATGAAAGAAACGTTTGAGCATAACTGCATCGATGCATGCACACCAGTGTATTTTTAACACTGTAATAAGAGGAAGTCAAATTGAGATCTATAATCTAAAAGGCCATAATTTTAAGGTAAAAAAAAGCAATTTACACTATGATTTCTACTATGCTAAAAAGATGCCTGAGATGAGCTCATACTGGAATGAAGTAGAAAATGCACCAAATAACAAATAATGGGAGAATGCCATAGGTGACATTTCTACCTTTTCAATTTTTTATATTATGGTTATTGTTGATAGGAAAACAAATTATAAAGGATTCAAGAATGAACATGTACTTTAAACTGTAAATTAAAATAAATTTTTATTCAAAGCATCTTTTAAAATTACAGCATGTTTATTCTTATGCTGTTATCTCTGCCAAACTACATCTCAGCCATATGAAGCATAAAACACTTCAAAAATTTGAATGTAAACCACATTTTTAAACCAAAAAGCAGTCTTAACATACCACAAATTTTAGATGCCAATGTATTTTGTCCAAGCACATAGCTTATATCAAAAGAGAACATTTTAATTTTCCTAGTTAGTTGTAATAATTTCTTAAACTTCCAATTTTACAAATAAAAAATGTCTGTGAATATAACTATTATAGCTGACAAAAGCTGACTAAGAAATAAACAAAAATCCTTACTTTTGAAGGCCATAGATTTTATTATCTGAGAATTGGCAAGTATTTGTATTTTTTAAATTCTTACTGCCCTTCCTTCTTTAGGTTAAGTTCATCAAATTTTAAATTTCCCAAGACTGATGAGTGTTGCTTTTCATAGTTCATTTAAGTCATATTGAGAGCAAAAATTCTAGAGAAAATGTTGAAATCTAAACCAAGAAAATTCAGATGCTACAGTCTCTCTCACTGTGCTTATAAGTGCTCCAAGTTAAAATTCTATATACCAGATTACAAACAAAATTCTTAGACCATTACAAATATAAATTCTCTTATTACAAAAAAAATCCCTCAAGATTTGTAATTTACTATACAGAGGAATTACATTTTTAAAGTATGTCCTCATTCATACACATTATTTGTTACTATCATCTTTCATACTTTTGCTTCCTTCCAAGACATTTACATACCTCCCCTTCCCCATGGCTAGTATTTTAAACTATCTGTGTACTGCAACACACTGAGATTTTTGGATAAAGAAGCCTACATTTTAGATAATGTTTAAACTACATCTGTAGGCTACTACTTAAAAAAAAAAAAAAAAAAAGGCGCTGAAGAGCCATATTGCCCTCTATTACTCTGAGATCTACTCCAATTATGCAATCTATCAAATTACCATGCTATGCATGTTATTTAGTTTCTGCTTAAAACAAAAGCATAAATGATGGAGGTTTATGTGTACATAAAGGAGGTGAACTGCTCAATCTTGATTTTTCTGTTCATGCTTCAGTATATAAAGTGGTATTTAAAAACTTCATCTATTTGGAAAAATGGCTTAACACCACCTAACACTTGCAGCTGAAACTATTCCAGAAACCTACTTATTTGAGTAGCTAATATTTTCTGCAGTGTTTACCTGATAACTAAATTTAGTGAACACAAAATAGCTTGGCATGTTATTCCGAAGAAAAGCAAGAAGGTGGCTGTATGCACGGAAAATATAAATAGGAGGCTTCCATTTGCTAGTAATTCTAAACAAGCAGTACAATTAAAATTTAGTGTTTGCTAACAAAAGATCTAAAACAGTTCACTACAAAACAACCCTGTAGGTGTCCCTTTTATTCATAAAAATCCAAGTGCCAAATCTCTTACAGGGCCCATAATATATATATATAAAAATACCAATTACCAAGTTACCTAGACTTTGCAAGATTAATCACTCAATTTCAGCAAATGAGAAATATGCAACGTGCAAAAGCTCCCAAGTTAACATAACAGGGATGCCAAGTGCTTTTCAAACCTGAACATCATAGTGAGCTGTAACGCCTCAGAAGGATAGAATAAGACTGATATTACTCCAATTCTGAATATTCTCAATTATTGTTCATCTTGCCAAGATCCTCAAACATCTCTTTTCTTCCAAAGTCCATAACTTAGAACATCTTCCAAAATAGTCAGTTTTCCACTTTTCGTTAGGCACACTATTTTGCAATTTAAAAATCTATATCTTAACACACATATCTTATACTTTCTGGCTTGCTTCAGTGTTTACAGTATTGTTAAACATACTAATATACAATGTTAAAAAATGATCTTATAAATAATCTATTTCAACGTTCTTTGGCTACATGTACCATTCTGCTTTTTCATACAAGTGTCTTATTCAGAAAGTGCTTCCTGTGAGAACTGCTTCCAATGAATGCATTAAACTTGCAAAATCTAGCTTCCCACAATATGTCCTTTTCTACCCTGTACTAGAAGTCCCATATTTACAAAATATTTTAAACTTTACAACAAATCCATTGCCATATAAAAAAAGTGCAATTCTCTCTCACCCCATATTCTGGGGCAATGACATTCTTCATAAGTTTCTACAGAATAGCAGCCTATGATAAGCAAATAAGGTGCTTAGCTTATGCCCAAGGATCTACTTTTTAAGTACGCTGGGCAGTACTTTTTTTGTACAGTGGCAGTCAGTGGCGAGGCTACTGGCGGAGCGGCGCCCCAGTCAGGTTGGCGAGCTCTATGAGAGCAAGGGCTCCATGCAGACGCTCCCGCTGCTCCTGCAGCCGGCGCTGGGCGCCACGCTTCTCGTCATCCTCCTCGTCAGACTGCAGGTACTCCAGAGGGTCCTGCTGCTCCTGATCAGCCTTCTGAACGAGCTTCCCTTTCAAGGTGGGGGCACGCTGCTCTCTTGTTTCCCAATACCTACATGAAACACATGCACATTAGCTATATGTATACACGACCTCCTCAAACATTTACTTTTCTTCTGAAAACAGGTTCTTTACCACAGTATTATTTTCTGTGTCTTAGTTTATAAAGTTCTAAAATGATTCGTATACTTTACATATAGTTCCCATTCTAGAAGAAAAAGTTCACAGTCAAGAAGTTAAGGGACTTGCTCAGATTTCCAAAATCAAAAACTGGCAGTTCTGGGTCTTATACTCAACTCTTTAATCATGGGTTTTCACCAATAAACTAAGATCATATGTGAAACGGACTACAGTAAAATACACAAACAGTTGAACAAATGTTGTATGTCAATGATACCTCTGTAAAAAATTTTAAAAAGTAGAACAAATAATCATTAGAAACCTATTTATCCTATTCTTCTGAAAGAGTTAACTGTAAGAAACTTCAAACCCACAAAATATGACGAATAGATTAGTATCTAGAACACACAGAGCTTATTCGAAAATCTAAGAGGCACCATGATTATTCTATTAATTAACCAACTGATAATTCACAAGAGAAAATAGTCTACCTTTTGGTAACTAAAGAAAGGCATATTTAAAGAACAATATCACTACATACAAAAATGTCCCGTACAAGACCCGCATCAATCAATGCTGATAGTAGCTTTATCTGTAATGGCCAAAAACACCCCAAAAGCCCAGCAACAGGCAAATGAATAAACAAGCTGAGGTGTATCCATACAATGGTGTACTACTCAACAGTAAGAAGGAATGAACCTAGGGTTGTATAGTGACAGATGGTGGCTGCACTTGTGAGCAAGCATAATGCATAGACTTGGGGAATTGCTATGTGGTACACCTGAAACTAATATAACATTGTGTGCCAACTATACCTCAATTAAAAAAATAAACTAAAAAAAAAGAATAAACCATTGATACAGTCAACATGGATGAATCCCAAAATAATTACAT